ACCACTACCGGGCCTTGTGGCCATGGTTTCCGCCATCATTGTCGTCGGCGTCGAGTCGTATCTCACTGCCCGAGGAGCTGGTCACTCCCATTCCCATAATCATAACTACTTTGACTCGGACGACGAACACGAAAGCGAGCTGCCCATGGTCGATACGGCTGGACTATCTGAGAGGAGGACGGGTCCTAGGCCCCCGGATATTCATTTGGAGGATATGGAGACTCAGGGGCTGGTTGCTGGCGTGTCGCCCTTGCCTGACTCGACTCCCGTTGGTGAGGAGTCGAGAAAGCTCACAGACGACTTTAACGACAATGACTCGGATCTGGAGCTGGAAATGGATGAACTTGCGGGCTCATCAAGTAACACGAGGCAGCGCAATGGGCGGTATGCATCCCTCAAGCCGAGTAATGCGGACGCCGAACCTTTGACCCCCATGACTCCGATGACGCCAATGTCTCCTGGACCGCAGTCTCCCGAGGAACAGCAGCGAAAGATGTTGCAGTGTCTTTTACTTGAGGCTGGAATTCTGTTTCACAGTGTCTTTATTGGCATGGCCATCTCCGTGGCTACTGGACCAGCCTTTGTCGTCTTTTTGGTTGCTATCAGCTTCCACCAGACGTTTGAGGGTCTTGCCCTTGGTAGCCGTATCGCGGCGATTCAGTTTCCTCGAAAATCCATCCGGCCATGGTTGATGGTGCTGGCATACGGCACCACGACCCCCATTGGACAGGCTATCGGACTCATCGTGCATCGCATGTATGACCCCAAGAGCGCGGGTGGTCTTCTCGTGGTCGGATTCATGAACGCAATCTCATCAGGCCTCTTGCTCTATGCTGGCTTGGTTCAGCTACTAGCAGAAGACTTTTTGTCAGAAAAGAGCTACAAGATTCTCAAGGGCAAGAAGCGACTTCACGCCTATCTCTCGGTTTGCGCTGGTGCCATATTGATGGCTCTAGTTGGTGCATTTGCCTAAACTGTTGGTGAATCTGGAAAACATCTGGCTGTATATAGAATGGATATCCCGTGTACATTATCATCGGTGTTGGATGGCGTTGCTCTGGGAAAAAAAAAAGCCTGAGACAGGATTGGGAAATACCTAGACAGGTGTAAGACTGGTGGGGAGGTGCTTAGAATCCGGCCAATTTCTCTTTGTTTCGTTGCAATACCTTAATCTTCAATGTTTATATTCTTAGAACTCTCAAGCTATTTCTGTAGACACGTCTATCCGCTGTGCCTCATAAACTACCCCGGCCGGCCCCACGTCCGAACTCCGAGACTCGTCGGCCCCGGCCTTCAAGTTGGCCCGGCTCGGGGTCCCTCCCTGCCCCAGAATGTCTCGGCCACGGCCAATCATCAGCTCCCCTTTAATCAGCTCTTCTCCTTGTCCCACACACCCACACCAGCTCCTGGAGCTTGCACCATAACTTATTAGCATAGCATGACGAGCTATCGAACCACCTCGAGAGTGAGACCAGATCAGCCACGGAACCAGACCAGAAGCTGATCCTTGTGACTTTGGACGAACCATTTCCTCGCCAATCTGTTTGCGTGCCCCTCGTGCTTTTCCCTCCCTTCTTTCTTTTCCCCTTCTTCTATATCTAGCCATGCCCGGTCAGCGTATCCTCCTCTTTCTCGCTGCACAAGTGCTCTTTGCAGGCATAGCTATATTCCTCAGTAATTCGCCATACACCAGGATGTCTACCGCACCGATCAAGCAATGGGCTGATGGACCCATGAAGCTCGTGGTGACGCCGCAGTACGAGACCAAGAAGGTCAGCAGCTGATACCCACTACCCATTCCCATTGCTCATGAAGCTGACATTTTATGCAGACGGATCTCTTTACGACGGGCGCCACTCACATGGCTCTTCTCCACAATGCCATCATCCGTGGCTTCAACTCCATTTACCTTCAGGCCCCTCATGTCAAGGATGCCGACAAGGCCGACTTTATCGGATACTCTCAGACTTGGTTCCGTTTCGTCAAGTCCCATCATGACGATGAGGAGGAGAATTTGTTCCCCAAGGTGAAGGACTTGCTTGGGGACGAAGCTGTGTGGACTGAGACGCACGAGGAGCACGGTATAGACCCTTGATCCACCATTGACACTTTGCGACTACGACTAACACATACCGTCCCAGAGTCATTCCTCGCTCCCCTCGCCGAGTTCAACACCTACCTTACCGAACTTTCCTCCCATCCCGTCGACCTCGACTCCGCCGAAGTGATCCGCCTCATGGATGCCTTCAAGGTCAACTTCGAGCACCACTTCCACAGCGAAATCTCCACAATCGCCGCACTATCCAACCATGCCAAGGCCCCCAACGATGACACTCCAGAGGGCCAGGCTGCCAGCCTGACCTTCAAGACATGGGGCAAGAAGACAGTCACCAAGGCCGGCATGCTCGATGTGGTGCCCTTTTTCCTGCTCAACCTTGACCGTACTGCCGAGGAGGGCATGTGGGCGAACTGGCCCCCGATGCCTGCGCCTGTGACATGGGGTCTGACCAACATTGCCGGCTCGTGGTATGGTACCTGGTGGAAGTTTGCGAGCTGTGACTCTCAGGGCAAGCCTCAGGAGCTTTACGCCCTGAGGGGATTGCCTGCCGAGGCTGAGAAGGATAGTGCTTGAGTTTGAGTGGCGTCTAGCATGTACTGTATTTTATTCACGGCGTTGATGGGGTAGTTGGTCACTGGGAATTATACCTGACAGCCTTCTATGGCTATCTATATCAAGACAAGCAATCTCTACCTATGTCTCAATGACATCATTATGCTCCCAAAAATATGCTCTTTGCTCCCGTGCTAGACACTCTCTTTGGCTGACAAGGAAAGCGTGCTCATGACCAACAGTGACTGTACTTTAATATATGCAACAGTGAACTTGCACAAAGAAATCGAGAGACACCTGATCACTGCCAGATATTTCTGGTCATCACCAGAATGAATAATCCTAATTCAATAGTGCATGACTGATTGGTAAAATAGGTAAAAGACGTAGTCGTTTGTCTAGATGCTCACGAGACAGTGCCAGAATGCAAAACGTTTGAAAGGAACAAAGATAAGGTTCAATGCCGCGTATACAATTCACGCAGTTTGAAAATTGCAGAACCTCAATGGATGCATTTGGGACCTTTCAGTGACTGACAATTCTGGATATTAAAACTCGTTGGTGGCGGACACTGGCAGCCATCGTTTGATCTTCTCTTCTCGATAACACACCCAACCGAATTTGCATATCGCCAAACCTCAATCTCCAGAAATCATCACGGCTACGCATTTACGAGAGATCTTGATCGGAAACCAGCATCTGTCGAGTATTTTACCATGGGCTGCATGCTCTCTCATCCACTGGGACGCCATGACAGGGATTCGGATGCTTGCTCGATTTGGTCGAGCTGTTGCTGTTCGAGCGGTTCTTCGTCCTCTTGCTCGCCCTGTTGCTGCGATGATCATCCTATCCCCATTGATGCTAGCCATCGACGTGAAGAAAATCACCGTCGAAAAAGTCATTATGTTCCCTTGTCCATTGCTGATGGAAGACACCTTGGGAATAGATGGCGGAACCAACCAACGTAAGTTCTTGTGTCAGCATCGTTGCTCACACTCAGTCTAATGGAAGAGGTGTCTCTCAGGGTGTCTGAACAATAGTTTCATTCGTCTTAGCATTTACTAACGTTCAAATTCTAGTCGGACACCTGAGCAACAAGCTCTCAGAGCAGTGAATCCCACAACTGATCTTGTTACAATCCATCCTTGAGAAAGAAACTAATTATTTGAAAGGGTCGTCATGATAGGCCCTTCTACGTCGACGCCGGGTCGACACAAATTCTCGCGCCTATCGCAGAACTGGGCTGCAGTCACCCGAATGGCCCAACCTTGGGAGAGAGACTGAGCTCATCGAACCGACTCAACCGATCGAGAATGATACAAGAGCCGATACGAAGACCAAGGGCCCCGTGCATATGCCCCGGACGAGACGAAAGGGAGGCTCTCTCTCCTTCTGTGCCTCCGCCGTACAGCCCCTGAAGTGACTGGGACATGGAACTTGGTCAGGTGGTCAGAAACAGGGACACGGTGTGGATGACTTGCGCAATTTCTACAGAATCACAACTGGAGATGTCTCTGATTCAGATAATACGGTGGGATATTAACATGGTGGATATTGGGGGAGGACCAAGATTGCAGCCACAGAATAGGGGGTGGCTTACGTATGAACAAGACACAATGAATTCTGCGCACAATCACGTTTGAAAACCACTGCTTCCCAGATCGTGACAAAGCCCAAGGAAGGGTCATTCTTGAAAGTTTACCTGTTAAGCTAATGCATCGGCACCACCGCATGGAAGAGTGATTTGCTGTCCGGTCCAAATCCTCTCGATTATAAATGGGCCCCGTTCCAACCTGTCTTGTACCATTGCCAGACCACCAAGCACCTGAAAAGGACCAACTCAACTATCCGACTAGGAGAGGGGGCGAAACAGACTACCAACATGGGCTGCTGCTTCAGCATGCCTGACCCTATGCCCGAGCGCAAGAGGAGGAAGAAGAAGCGCTCCAGTCGACGTCGTTCCGGCGGGCATCATGGAGAAAGCGGACAACAGCAACGAGACCACCATGCTGGTAGGCGCCACTCGGGGCAGCGAAGGCGTCATTCCGGGGTCCCGCAGTATATAGACACGTCGTATGGGACCCCTAGGTGGTGGGCGGAGAGCCAATGGACGATACAATAGTGGCAGTGGGGCGAGTTTTCGTATTCGGAGAGTTTTAAAGGCGTAAACTCCTGTCTTTTCATGTTTCGTTAGCAAGTGAACTTGTCATGGCTGCGGCCGTTCAAGGGTGATCTGAGACCAAGAGTGGAGATTTCCCCAGCCCTAGTCCGCGTCGTGGATAGTTAGGAAGTCCGAGGTCCGAGGTTGACTCACTTATATATATCTTGTTGGTTCCCCATCTCCAATTTCGAAAGTTTGGTATCAAACCAAGTATCGAAGAACGCCACAATGTCTCCCAACCGTCATGTCCTTGTTCTTGGTGGTAATGGAAAGATTGGAAGACTCATCACAGACATTCTTCTGAAGAAGTCTTGGACTGTGACGAGTCTGATTCGTTCTGAGGAGCAGGTCGAGGACTTGAAGAAGGCTTTCGAGGGTCTGCCGGGGAAGCACCATGTCGTCGTTCATGATCTAGAGCAGGTCGGTAGCCAGGAGAAGGCTGCCAAGATCCTTGAGGAGGTGAAGCCGGACTCGGTGGTTTGGACTGCGGGTAGGTTTCTATACTTGATGCGTAGAGTGGTCTGCTAAATGGTCAATAGGAGCTGGTGACAAGGGTAGTCAGGATAGAGTAGGCTCAACTTACCTTGATCTTTCAAGAGTCCTGGTTAGCTGACAAGTCCCCAGGTCATCCGAATCGACCGTGACGCTGCAATTGCCTTTGTCAAGGCCTCGGTCGCAGTCTCTACCATCAGCCACCTCATCCAGATCTCATACCTTGGGGCCCGTCGCTCTCAAGCCCCTTGGTGGACTCCTGAGGACTGGGCAGGCTGGAACAAGATCAACGAGACATTCCTGGCCCGCTACTACGAGGCCAAGGTCGCCTCCGACGAGGCTCTCGTGGTGGAAGCAAGGAAGAGACCCGAGATCACCGCCGTTTCGGTGCGCCCTGGAGGTCTGACGGATAAGGAGGAGGGCGGCGTGCTCATGGGACAGACCAAGAAGGCTCGGGGGATGACGACTCGTGCGACGACTGCGAGGGTGGTCGCTGTGATCTTGGAGGAGGAGGTCAAGGGTCGATGGCTGGATGTCTTGGACGGCGAGGAGGACGTAGAGACGGCCGTGCAGAGGTGTGCTCGCGACGGAACAGATTGTTATGAAGGTGAGAACATCGTCAGTACTTAACAGGACCAAGAGAAGGAGGTCATACCAGCAAGTGTTTGAAATAGGAGACCGAGGGAGGGAAATGTTGTACTGCAGTTCGATACTGAAGCATGCTCCAAGGGTCAGAGAGCGCAGGGGAATTATGGTAGACCAAATAGCACCAAGATACGCCTAGGTACGTACCTACGGCGGCACTGAAAGAAGCCTGCGAGCTGTCGAGGTTGGCCCTCTACGCACATGGTCCCCTTTGCACTCCCAGTGTCACCGATGCACCGAATATCAAACCATGACGAAATATAGACTACTTGACAAGCAAGATAACATGCACACGAGTTTTATTTCAAACAATTTACGACATCCTAGTGTAAAATTAGAGCCGTATGCACCAAGCACGGCCTGTAGACGGGAGGGGTGGTGCCGCAATGCCACTGGCATATCGCCCAAGATATCACTGGCAACCGAGCAACCAAGCCTCATCCTCTTTTCCCTTCCAACATCTTCTTCCACTTCGTGCACATCACAACAAACTTCCTTCGAGCATCGAATAAAATTCAAGCATCGTTCGGCTCGAGTCTACCAAGTGCACAGTCTGTTTGTGGACTGCTACCGCTATCACCTGCGTCTGCATCCCTTTTTTTTTCTTCCCAACCCGGTTGGCCACGCTTTGATTTTTCGCAATCAGTAACTGCTCCGTTTGCCTCCCAGAGAAGTACAAATAGCCATTCCTCTCAGGTGTCGCCGCCTGAAAAAAAACCTACCCTTTCACAACATCGTTTCCCGCTCCGCTCCCTACACAACCACATTCATTCTCCCACCCTCGCACGCAAGCGACATCGCACCTACAATCATTTCAAACATCTCTTCATCTACATTCTTTGAAATCGTCATCATGGGTTGTGGACTCTCCAAGCACGAGCGCCCTGGTGAGGCCAACTACGTTGGCACTGAGCTCATCCGCATGGCTCCTCCAACCCGGTATGTTTGATTTCCACGAGGCCTGACCTTGCTTGACAATCATGTCGCTAACAAGAATCAATAGTCGTCCTGGCTTCCGCCCTGACACCTCTCCTGTTCGTGGCCGGGCCACTTCTCTTCCTGCTATGCCAGTCTATCCCCCCATGTACGAGCATATCAATGCTGGTCTTCAGGGGATGGCCCGTCCCACCACTTCTTCCGGCATCCCTCGTGTTGCCACACTCCCTCGTATCGACATCACTCATGATGTGATCGTTGAGCAGGACGAGGCTCCTGCTGGCACTGCCACCGAGCAGGCCAACGACGCCGGCACCCAGGCAACCACTACCACTTCCGTTGAAGCTGGTGCCAAGGTTGCTACTGGCACTCCCAAGGAGGCCATTTAGATCCGTCAAGGTATGCTGCCTCCCGTGAAACATGACAACAAAGGGTCCTGACCAGTTTGACAGCATCATCACGGGTCCACACAGGGGACGAGCATTTGGGCAAGGATTTCGGGTACCTGCAGGTTGACAGCTGAGCAAAGTGTCTTTACGGATATGGAGATTCATGTGGTTTAATCTGTCGGGGAGGACGGAGTGATTTTCTTGGAAGCAATCAACATTCGGGGTAGTCATCACAGCGGCCTAGCGCCAGAATCAAACACACTGCCACGACACTTGATTTATTCTCTGCATGAACGTGATTTGATTTGATTTAATAAACGTAGGCACGTAGAATGAGGGCTCTCAAACTCTACCAGGTGGTTTTTGAAGCTTCTGAGGCCCTGTGCGACCGTTGCCGTGGGAGTGTGCGGTCACGGGATTTCAGGGTGTGAGGCTCTCGTGGATAGCGGCGCTGCCACGACGACGCGTTTTCAGGCACGCGAATAAGCACGGATGGGAGAATGACATCACGACTTCAACTGAGCTCTCTAGAAGCTGTCACAAGACTAGATATTTATCAAATTATTCTCTCGCACTGTGACATGAGGTAGTAGTGAGTGCTGGAATCACGTCTCCCTGGAGCTGGGAAATATACGACAGAGCATGCTCAGCTGGCCAAACGCGTCCAGACTATCTCTGGGGCTAGAACAGTGCGCATCTGCACAGCGCACTATTTTCTTTGGTGCACATTTTTGGACGAATTTCTATAGGACGTCTGCTGGCAAGCAAGGACGTCAGGATAAACGGCGTGCCAAGTGGAGCAGATGTTTGACGCATGCTACCAGGTACCAAACAACGTTTCTTTCTCCTGCACTCTGTAGGTACCCATCCTTTGGTAGCACACGTGATGGGTCATGGCTATGGAGTACGTAGCTAGCTATAGAGTGCGGCCACTTTGACATGGGGTTCTCGACTGTAACATGATCACCACCACCCGCATATGTGCTGTGCAACTCGATGTTAGCGGCCGAGACACCATGACCATGTGCTCCCCCACGCTCTCGTTGCAGGGAGGGTATTGGGTTGGGTCTCGGCACGATCGATCGAACAAACAACGGGCGACGGGTGCATGGGGTAACTAGCGGAGTTTGAGCAATATTGAGTCGGCCGAGAGCCGAGAGCAGTAGACGAGGAGATGGACGTGTTACTTAACAGGCGCCCCAGCCGTGGGTGGCTTGACTGAAAGCCAAGGGTTCAACTCAAGCCATTTTTACAAGGATCTTGTCGATATCAGACCAGGCCACCGTCTCCAGCCCGTAGAAACTTGCTCAAATCTACGCAAAGCTGGGTCCGTCTTTTGAAACTGGCACGACAATCCCACGCCCGCATTCGCCCATTTACTACTTTATTCCGCATTGTACGGTTCGTCGGCTGTGAGTTTATGACAGGACCCTTGACGCAGAAGAAAAAAAAGGTTATCAACGGGCTGCATACAAAAAGGTTCCTCTCCTCCCTTTCGTCTTTTTTTACTCTTGCTGCATGAGAGAATTCAAAAGTTCCCAACATTCTTGGTGACGCTTTGATTACCTATTTATTGTTGGTCTGCCTCCTCCCTCGTTGACACTTGACAGCATCACCTTCACCAACTGTCAACCCACCACCAACACCAGCTTCAACCAAGAATCAAACACCTTGACCATGACTTCCTCAATGGATCATCACATGCACATGACTGGCATGTCCGAGACTGCCACTGCAACCATGTCCATGGACCACGCCACCATGTCTATGGAGATGCCAGCTTCCACCTCGGCCGCCATGGACATGGACCACGGCATGGGCAACGGCTGCAAGATTTCTGTACGCCAAATACACCCTCCTAACAGAAACAAACTGCTAACAATTCTAGATGCTCTGGAACTGGAACACGGTCGACTCCTGCTTCATCGCCGAGACCTGGCACATCACCTCAAAGGGCATGTTCGCCGGTTCCTGCATCGGCGTCATCCTCCTCGTCATGACCCTCGAACTCCTCCGTCGCTCCGTCAAAGAATGGGACCGCTACCTCCTCCGCCAGCACGCCGCCAAGTTTCAAGAATCTACTTCCGCTGCTGCTGCCACCGGTTCCGACAGCCCCAAGGTCGCTTCTCCTACCGCTTGTGCTACTCCTCTGCCTCCGTTCCGTCCCAATGTCTGGCAGCAGGCTATCCGTGCGCTGCTGCACATGATGCAGTTTGCCGTCGCTTACTTTGTTATGCTACTCGCCATGTACTACAACGGGTACTTTATCATCTGTATCTTTATCGGCGCGTACCTGGGTGCTTTTATCTTTCAGTGGGAGACTCTGGGTGGAGGTGAGAACACGAGTGCCTCTCGTGAGGCTACTGTCTGCTGTGGTTAAAGGGAGAAGGAATGGAATTTGTGCATCGAGTTATTTACTTGGTGCTCGACTCTACAGCTTCATCATCTCGTCACAGCAACTTCCGCCGCCTTTGCACACTCTGACTGTCGTGATCTCGGCCGTCTGTTGTGTCCCTAGATATAGTTAAAACTTAATCATGATACCCTTCTATTTCGGCGATTTCAAAATGAATAGCTTGAGTGATGTTTGATGTACTTGTAAGAATGAGAAGTTGAATGAAAGAGTAAGGATGCTTCCATTGTGTTTATTCCACGGCGAGTCAACCAAGCTCGTTGATTGGACGCCATCGGCTGGCGTCAGGGGCTAACAAAGTGCTGGTGTTTGCACAGGGTGAAAGAAAAAGAGCCACAGTGTATACAGCCGTCACGACCAACAGATCCACCAACATGACAACTAGCACGCCTGTTTAATACATGAAGCAATACCAAACATTTCAATCAAATAGAACCACTCCCTTGGTGAGTTTACCAATATCTTTTCCACCATGCTTTGTCTGTTATCTACACCGTAGCTGCTTACAATTACACTCCCAATTAGCCCTAGTGTGCGGCTTATTTCCTCACCCTCGTCCGGTCGAGCTGACAAATGAGTTGCCTCAGTCCTTGGCCGTCGATCCTCAAACATGGGGTTAATCAGGAACCACCCCTGCGACCACTCAATCCATCTCGTCCAACTACCGACAACGTCTCAATCATCACACAAGCAAGAGGAATTAATTTACTCAACTTCACTTCACGCCTTGAGGCTCTCGCGGCAACCATGTTCCGCCATCTCATGTCCGCCAAGGTGCGCTCCAACGCCGGCTGCTGGACCTGTCGCCTGCGCCGCAAAAAGTGCGACGAGAAGAGGCCCGTCTGCGACGGCTGCGGCCTCCTCGAGATCACCTGCCACTATGAGGAGGAGAAGCCCGACTGGATGGACGGCGGGCCCAAGCAGAAAGCCATGGCTGAGAAGATCAAGGCCCAGGTCAAGAAGCAGGCCAGTCAGCGTCGCGACCGCAAGTACATGGAGATGCTTGAGGCTGGTACGCGCAACGTCACCCTCCAGAACGGCGAGCACGACGTCGCCATGTCTGCTGCTTCTGATACGGATCCTCCCTCTACTCATGAAGTAGGCTCGACTCCGGCTTCTAGCAATACCAGTGGCGCGTCTCCTCCAGATATGCCCTGGCACAGCCACTTCTCGGTTCGCACAGAGGACCAGTCCAGCGCTACTGGAGCAAGCACTGAAGTTCACTTTATCATGATCTATCTCGACTATGTCTTTCCCCATCTCTTCCCCTTCTACCGTCCACCAATTCTTGCTGGCGGTCGAGGCTGGGTTCTCGACGTGCTGCAGAGCAACAAATCTGTCTGGCACACAGCCATCTCGCTCACATCCTACTTCTTCAGCATCGTCATGGCCAATGGCGAGAAGCAGCACGAGGAGTGTACCAACCGAATGGTTCACCAGTTGCAGTCTCAGCTCGAGATGGGTCTTCGGGAACTGCAGCGTGAGATGAGCGCCGTCAACCACACATCATCTGCCGCCGGCGTTCGTGACAAGCTCCTAGTCCTCCAGGCCATCCTGCAGATGCTCATCTTTGAAGTGTCCACCAGCAACAAGGACCATTGGAGGATGCACCTTGACGCAGCTCTCACAATGTTCCAACAGATCCTGCCTCAACCCGAGCAATGGGGTGAGACTATCGAGGCCCTCTACAGCTATCGTTGGCCACCGCCAGAGATGGGAATACGCAGACCCTTCAGTACCAACCAAGCTGCCCTTCGTTTCTTCACAGCCAACATACTCTACATCGACGTCATGTCCAGTATCACACTCGAGCAGGCACCACGTCTACAAAAGTACCAGGCCCAGGTCATTCCCGGCTGCAGAGCTCACACTTCACCAGAAGAGATGCGCATCTCTGGTTCGCTCTTTATGGAGGAGTACATTGGCCTTCAGAACTGGGTCGTCCAGATGATCGGCGACATTGCTGCCCTAGATGCTTGGAAGAAGGAGCAGAGGAAAGCAAACTCTCTATCAATGACCGAGCTCGTCCAACGTGGTAAAGTCATGGAGGATGCCATCAAGGGTGGTCTCAGTGTCCTCGAGGCTCAGTTTGCATCCTGCAGTCCCACTATCGATCCTATCCTAAACAGGTTGGTGACCGAGCCTGCACCTCTATCCCAGATGCCCGACTCCAAGGCCAAGGAAGCTCCTGGCCTCGCCATCAACAACATCATCTGGCTACAAGCCGCACATACATACCTCCACGTTGTCATCTCTGGCTGGCAACCCTCTTGCCCAGAGATCTCATGCTCCGTCTCCCGCATGACCTCTCTCCTGATGGACCTCCCCACAAACACCTGCCTAAGAACCCTAGTCTGGCCATTCTGCATTGCAGGTTGTCTCTCACCGGTCGAGGATGAGGACAAGTACCGTGCGATGATAGAGCGCATGGGATCCTTGAGTGTGTTTGGCACAGCTAGGGAGGCACTCGAGGTCATGGAAAAGGTTTGGGCTCAACGAGATCAGATTGACGAGAGTTGGGATGTGGCCAAGTGCCTCAAGATTTTGGGACATGGAGTTTTGCTGATTTGATACCCTGGGTATTTGCCTCGCCTGGCAACACAGGCACGAGGTTTGGTTTATAATGATGGTCATTTCTTGAGTGTTTACGAAAGGGAACAAGTTGCAAGGAAGGAATCTTGAGCGGTTAGCATAGTGAGTGTTTCTATTTATTACGATTCAAGATGTGAGAAGGGCTCAAGTCCGAACAATTCATGCCATTTTTTATTCATTTTATAATGTTGAAGCCGATCTAACCAGTAGACATTACCATTTGTTTCCCAAACCCAGTCAAAAAGCACAAGCATATCCAATCTATTATAACCCAGAGCTGACCCAATTCATCATCTAGACCCTTTTTCCACCAAACAGAGTCTGCCTCTTTTCTAGCAGACCCAGATCCCACCATCCTTCCACTCGTTCCATGAGGGTCTTGCGAGCAGACTTGACCCTCTCGAGAAGAGGACTCCGGGGTCCGTCGTCGACAAAACTCGGCGACGACGGCACCTGCAGCATCGGAGGCAGAGGCGGTAGATCTTCCACCGGCTTCGGCGTCTCCTTCAGCTGCACCCTCTTCACACGGACGGGCGCCGTGGGGGGCGGGGGGAACCACGGCTGGCGAGCGCTCTCGGCGTCGGACGAGTCGCTGTCGAAACGCTTCTCGGGATGCGCCATGGCCATCGTCCCCAGGCTCCGGGCCCGGCTCACTGCCGCTCCTCCGAGCGGGCGAGCCTGGACCTTGACCTCCCCCATCTCCCCACGGCCGCACCTTCAGCCTTCAATGTCCTTGGGAGCGGGACGGGAAGCGCCCTTGGTTCGCTTCCACAGGCATCCAGAGGTGATGGCGGAGAAAGCAAAGAGCACGCACAGAGCGATGCTAAGGCCCCAGATGGACTTGATTTGATAGCACGAGGCCTTGTCGGCGTCTACCCAGCGGAAGGTGTTGGCCTGGGAGTGGTAGACGTTGTGGAACAGCGAGTTGATAAAGTTGGCCGTGTTGCCATCCGAAGGGAACTTGGGGCATGAGAGGTAGCTGACGGGCTTGCCGACTGTGCAGGCCACGACGATGCAGGCGATGAGGAGGCACAGATCGGCGCCTGTAGCGAGGAGGAGAGGGAGCATGCCGTCCCAGTAAAGGATGTAAGAGATGGCGATATAGAGGGTAGAGATGCAGGCCTGAAAAGTCAGTTACTAGCCCCTATTCAAGAAAATGTTCAACTTACAACAACCAGTGTGCCAATCAGTGCCGACGGGGCAGCATAGTCGGCGCCAACCATCTCAGAGATGAAGTTGGAAGTGAGACCGATGATGGTGATGAAAGAGATGCACTCCATGGCTCGCATGGCAGTCCATGTGTGCCCGAGGGCGCCGAGAGCGGGCTGCATCCTGGACTTTTGTGTAGCGGGCGTGTAGAGGGAGAGGCGAGGGCGCGACGATCCGGCGGTGCGCAGGGGAAGGTTCTTGGAGTAGAAGGGGATGGACGGAGAAGCTATTGTGTCTCTAAAAGGTCCCGCCTTTAAAAGAGGCGAGAGGTCGGTTTTTTTAAAAGAAATGGTGGTAACAAAGATGTTTCGTTAGAGAGTGCTGTCGTTGAGATTCGTGATGGACTTTAAGAGAGAGATGAAAACCCAGAAACCCAAAAAGAGTACAAAGGAAAATAAGGAAAAGAGACAAAAAAGGAAAAAAGGAAGATTGTTGTCTTTGTTGTTGTAAGTTGCTTGATGAAGAGAAAGAGAAGAAAAGGAATCTTACAGACGCCCGAAACCCCGTGTCTTTATACATGCATCTTCAACAACAAAAGACATCAACTTTCTTGGCTTGTGTTTCCAATTACAGCAACCGCCCGGCCCACAACCAACCCATCGCGCTTCACCCGTCGCGAGATGACACAGGCAAACAATCTTCCTTTCCATTGAGCGGCTGCTGCTTCAAGGTCCATCAACCAATGAGAGCCACTCGATCGGGTTGTCCTCCAGAGCTGGCGCTTAACCACCAGGGACAGGGGTGTAAGTCAATAGCCGCGCAGGCGTTTCGAACTTGGCAGGGTCACGATTGGATAAGAGTTCAAGTTGGCAGTTCGTGAGCCTCATGAATTTTTTGTTTTGGATGCGGTCGCAGACGCGGCGAGATTAGAGGGTCTTGATGTGGGTGTAACCACTGTTTGCCCATTGTTGTGCCACTCCCAGGACTATTCTAGGAACATGATCCTACTTCCGGTAGCTTGGGCTTGGGTCTCTTGTTTGGTCAACGACGCTAGAGTTTCTTGGTTCTTGATCCCTGTTGATTCACAGTGAGGAACTGCCGAGAGACAAAGAGTTTAGTCTTGACCTGAATCTGCATCCATGCAATGCACGTCGATCCGATGCTGGTGATCCGATACGGTGCATCAAGAAAGGGGGGCTGGGGGACGGTGGTTTGAAAATAGAGCGACATGACATGTCAGTTCATTTTGTTGCGCCAGACGCCTATCTAGGATCCTATCATGAAAACAAACATGCTGCCTCTTTGCTTTGTTATCCGTACATACATTCTCAATGCTACTCACTGGACGAGAGCCCAGGCAACCGTGGTACCTATCCCCCCGTCTGGTTCCACCACACTCAGACGCGCTTATTCTGCTAGCTCAGCCCAGGAGATCGTCCATGGCAGAGCCGCCAGTCTTGGGCGCCGTGTTGCCGCTAGAGGGGGCCGCGGAGGGGGCACCCCAGATTCCGGCACTGCTCTTCTCCTTGGCCAGCTGGCCCATGGTAGGCCCAGCAGTGGGCGTGCTAGACTTCTTGATGTTGGCACTTGCCTTGCCCCAGAGCGCACCAAAGGCATCTCCTCCAGCAGCAGGGGGCTTGGCTCCAGGGCTGGTGACGGGCTTCATGTTGGCCATGGTGGTTGGTGTGTTGGAAGCACCAGACATGCCTGGCAGGCCAGACACGGCAGGCTTCGCAGGTTGCGCTTGAACGGTGCCAAAGTAGTTGGGTCCGGACTGGAAGCCTCCCTGCTGGGCGGCAGGGGCGGCAGCAGGAGCAGCAGCAGGAATGCTAAAGGCAGAGTAGTTGACTCCGGGTGTGCCCCTGGCGCTATTCGCGGGTGAGATTGACGCCATGCTGACCATCTGGCTGATGTCGGCCTGCTGGGGGGCCGACTGGGGTTGGGGAGCAGCAAAGTGAGCAGTTGTAGAAGCTGCCGATGTCACGGCGGGCGCAGCGGTCTGAGCAAAGTTGCTGGCTGCAGGCTGGGCCGCAGGAGTAGCAGACTGGAAGTCGTCAAACTCGTCGTCGTCGTCGGCTGGCGCTGAGGCGGCGGCGGTGTTGGTAGGAGCCATAGCAGCAAAGCCGGACGCGGCCGGTGCTGCAGATGATGCCGGCGCAGAATCATCGAAAGAGAACAAGTCCACCTCGGGCTCCTTCTTCTTGGGAGGCTCAGCAGCCTTCTTGGCCGCCGGGGTTCGCTCTGGTCTCTTCGCAGCAGCTCGGGATGAAGGAGCTGGCCTCTCATCCTCGTCAAACTCGTCATACTCTTCGAATCGGTCAGCTCTGCTACCGCTGCCACCGCCGCTGCCGCCCTCTCGCCAATCGTCGCTCTGGCCACCGAAACCACCGCCGTCGCCATAGACACCTCCAGAGTAACCACCAAAGTTGGCATTGCCACTGCTACCACCGCCATAGTCGGCACTCTCGCTGCCAAAGCCACCATAGCGGCTGGAGCTGCCACTCGAGAAGCCGCCGCCAAAGGTTGCGCCACCTTCGACGCCAGTATACTTGTTCTTGGTCGAACGCGCCTTCTTGCGCTCGGATCGGATGCGGTCGACATCGCTTAGGAGCTCGGCAAGCTCCTTGGCCCTGTTGCGCACATTGATACCCTGGTCCTTTCCGTTCTGATCAATAAAATGGAATTGGCGAAGCATCTTGAGGAGGGAAATGTGTCCCCGGGCATCATCAATCACGCGCTCGGAGCCGTGCTTGATGAGGAACTCGAGTAGTTGGAGAGCCTTGTAAATCTGACGCCACTCCTCGGCGGCCTTCTCGGTGAAGCGACGGTAGATCATGGGCATGATCTCGTTGAGGGTTTGGCTGATTACGGTCAGCAGCTGGAAAGACGCATCGACATGGCTGGCGTACTAGTTGAAGGTGCCGTTGGCAATCTCTTGCATCAGGGTGGAGGAGGCTCCCCAGGGTTCGTTGTTCGTCGCCTCGCGAACCTGCGCATCATCGTAAGCCCAACGTGTCACGGCGACGACATGGGTCGCGCAGAGCTCAACCGACCTTTGCCTCCATCTCGGTAAAGTTCATAACAGCTGCGCATAGCGTCAGTAACCGTCAGGCGCAGCAGGCGAGGCCGCATAGGGAGTACCATTCTGGGCCTTTCGAAAGCCGGCCTTGAGGTCATACAAGGTCAGGTTCGAGACCGTGCTCTTCAAGTCGTTGAGATCCATGGCGAGAAATCCAAGAAGCACAAAACCGCTAGACGATGGGGAGATCTACCGTAAAGAACGGATAGTTCAGGCGAGATGTTGCTGCTGTTGCTGCCGCTCTGCGGATTGGGTGAGATATTCCAACAAGATATGGGTGTTAAAGGAGCCCCTTGCGCCAACGCATCCTGGACACTTGGACACTTCCCAGAGCGGCAGCGCGGACTCGGCGAGGATCATAGCTTGTCACGTGATGCTCCACCAACCATGATTAGGTTCTATTGGGGAATGAATGAAGGTAATAGAGTCCAAAATCAAGGTGGCATTCAAGGCTAGAGATTGCTATCAATCGCTCAATGGCAATCATACATGATGGAATACGAAGCTCAATTGAAACCCATATGCCTCGGCTAACCAACAACCACTCTCAAGCCAACAGTAAGCTCATTCTATGTAACCCGGCATAGACAACAGCTCCCGGACAGTGGAGGACCCCGCGAGCTACAGTAAAACCTTATACTTCAGGCCTGAAAGCCGTCGCTCACCGCGCTACGAATAATCGACGCTCAGCTTGCCCCAAAACTTTTCCTCTCTCGAGACCAGTCCAGTCCAAAAGACCACCCTCGACACCTGTATCCGACAGATTTCTGTAATTTTACCTGTCTAATTGTCCTCTCCTGTACCATCACATTTTTTCCCAAGTGTATTAGTCTTCAAGGTATGTGCAGTTTCAATTCTTTCTCTCCCGCTTTTGCCCTTTGTCACACCAGCCAGCCCGCCAGCTGGAGCTTTCCGGGGAAGCTCAGTCAGCTCCAGGGAGAGCAAGACGCCTTCGAGCAGGACATCTCCGAGCATGTCAGTCAGAGCAGAGCCAATGCGTACCGGACCAACAATGCCAATCACGATCCCAATTGGTGTCGATGGAAAAGTCGCTCAATCCCGGCTTCGATGCCGGTCCTCTCCTCGTCTACTGTACACCTCATCATATCTCCTTGCCCTTGTCCTCACCCATTTTCCCGGTCTCACGGAGGGGAGCTTGCCATCCTGGTGTCCGATTCACTCACTCACTCACCCACCATCCACCGGCCACCTCACCCACGGGGCCGTGGACTGGATGAGACTCGAGGTGGAGGGGCCATGCAATGACGAGAATCCACTGTGGTGGCCACGTCCCAGGATCCCTCCAATGGGCATGGATCCTTGAACAAAAGTCTGCTGCACCTCGGGGGCATCGGGCCACTCGCTCAACACGTTTGGGTGACGCTGGACTGGGCTGTCTGATGAGGGGCTGGCTGGCTTGAGACTTGGAAGGCCCCCGAGGCGTGGCGGGCGTGCGTGGGCGTGGTCCTGGCAACCACCATCAGCTCAACGGTAGCCCCATCGGAGCTGTGCTGTGTTTGGGGGATCCCTTGTGCCTTGAGCCTTGACAGAATCCCTTGACCAGCAATGGCGGTCTGAAAAACACCAACCAGGGCTTCTCGGCTCTGCTCGTTTGACGCCGTTGATCAGCAGAAGCTGTTGCGAAGCTGCGGGGCCCACAATGGCATCCATGGCCACACGGTGACCTCATGGAGACGAGCATGGCGAAGCAAGCAAAACATGGAAGGAGGCAGAAGGCGTGGACGGGAGCTCCCCGGCTCACTTCACGTGACTTGGCTTCCGATTTCACCCCACCACTACCCCTCTCCCGCCCTCTCCTATTGGCTCAGGCGGCCCGCGCTAACATTTTGCCCCTCCAGCTTGCTCAAAATGAGACCCTCCCTCCTCCAGCCCCTCCTACCCCGCCATACCTCTTCTTGCTTCTCTGCTGCGAGAACTTCTTTCTCTCTTCCTCAACTTGTGTCTTCTTCCAACACTTTCCGAACTTCTCGATTCTTCTCAGCAACCTCCGCAATCATGGGCAACAAGGTGTAGGTCTTGCTAGAACTCCGTGCCGTCTCCATTGCGCCCTCGCTGACTCTGATCAAACAGCTACTTCGATATTGAGTGGGAGGGTCCCGTCTTCCAGAACGGCAAGCCCACCAGCACCGTCAAGGGTAAGCTTTGAATCTCCTCAAAATCATCAAATCCATCATCGTCTTCCATCAGGAAGCTCGACAGCTTCTGTGACAATCCCTTGCTCTTGTCCGCTTGGAACGAAACCTCCAGAGAGCGCCCCAACCTAACACCTCACCTGCTGCAACATGAGCTGACGCTGTCCCCTACAGAGCAGTCGGGTCGCATCAAGTTCAACCTCTTCGACGACGTGGTCCCCAAGACCGCTGAGAACTTCCGTGCTCTCTGCACTGGCGAGAAGGGCTTCGGCTACGCCGGTTCTTCCTTCCACCGAATCATCCCCGACTTCATGCTCCAGGGTGGTGACTTCACCCGTGGCAACGTACGTTTCTAGAAACATGCCAGTCTGAAACAACAGCTCACAGTCTCCTAGGGAACCGGTGGCAAGTCCATCTACGGCGAGAAGTTTGCCGATGAGAACTTCCAGCTGAAGCACGACAAGCCTGGTCTGCTGTCCATGGCCAACGCTGGCCCCAACACGTAAGCATCTCATGTCGAAGCGGCCCAGCCAGATTACTGACCCATGACAGCAACGGCTCCCAGTTCTTCGTCACCACCGTTGTCACCTCTTGGCTCAACGGCCGCCACGTCGTCTTCGGCGAGGTCGCTGACCAGGAGGGTCTTGACATTGTCAAGGCTCTTGAGGCCACCGGCTCCGGCAGCGGCAACATTAAGTACGGCAAGCGCCCTACCATTGTCGCCTCTGGTGAGCTGTAAACAGTTCGTTTGATGCGTTACAAGGCATTATGGTTGGGAATTGGAGCACATAACGAACCTCGGAGAGGATTAGCCATGAAGCTAGTGATTCAAAAGTCGGGCTAAAGGCCCAGCTGCCAAAATATCAACCATTCACAGCCCACAAATACTGTAGCTTCGTGTCACTGTGATTGCATGACTGCCCGAAGAGTAACTTCAAAAGCATAAGACATAGATTGAAGTTTTGAAGTGTACCGCTGCGAAGGGCCATTTGGCCGTGTCGCTTTTCCTACTACGCCGCTGCTATGCCCACCCATAAAACCAAACTGCCCATTGGTGCTTAGAACCAGACGCCAGACCCCGTAAAGAGAAGAAAAAAATACACTGGATAGTAGTGAGTGATGGCTCAGTAACCTCCCAGACCCTAGTAGACGTGACCAGTCTATTCAATGCCTAACCACCTCTGGAAATATTCGCAGTTGTTTGGACCTACTGGTCCACCCTCTTCGCAGATCTCAAAGACTGGGCAGCGGCCACAAGGAGCCTCAGTGAAGGCACTGACGAATGGTTCAGGGCCGCCCTCGAGTCCTGTGGGATCGTCACGGCCAGCCCATCTCTCTGCGGACTGCTTGGCGATGCGGGAGACGCGGTAGCCAATCTTGCCGCCAACCTTGACAGGCTCTACCAGGTTATCCCATACCAGAACATCGACAAGCTTCTTGACATCGTGTTCGGATAGGATGGTGTTGTGGGTGACGCCGCTCGTGGAGAGAAGACGGGCAATGTCGCGGACGGTCGGGTAGCCTGTGTAACCGGCAGGGAGGGGGAGGAGCGTGTCCTTCCTCGGAGGAGCGGCGGAGGAGGTCTTTGTGATTTTTGATGGAGGCTCGTCCATATGGCTAGCATCACGCTTCTTGCCCTTCTCCACGCCTCCCTTGACGACACCCTTCTTGGGCACCTGCGTCCGCGCGGGAGCACCACCTCCGTGGGTGCTATGGTAGCTGCTCTGAAGCTTCAGGTAGTCAAAGACGAAGCGCTGCAGCTCCTCTATAAAGGCCTCGTCGAGATTCTGGTCGGTGTACCAGGGGCCGCCGGTGGCGCGATCGCTGGGGCGGATGGAGGCCTTGATGAACATCTTCTTGTTAGGGTGCTCGACATTCTTGAAGGGAGCGATGAGGCCCTTTGTCTGGAGCTGCTTGAGGGCGTTCTTGAGGACCGAGTCGTGCATGTTGAGACGCTTCTGGAGGGTCTGGGACCAGATACCGTCGCCGCCCGAGTCGTCGATGAGAGAGTACACCATGACCTGCTCATCGGTCGAACACTGCTTGTACCTGGTGGACAATCGTTAGCCGCGCGCATTGATATAGGTGTTGTTCGTCGCGGTAACATACTTGTGTGCCTCCTGAGCGTCGCGCCACTTCCACAGAACCTGGCCCGAGGCCTCGCGCATGGTGATGAAGAGCTTGTCATCGCTGAGGGACTGTACGACGCGGGCCAGCAGCATGAGGTCGCGGTTGGGGATAACGTCGAGTCGGAGGAGGTCATCCTGAGAGAACATGTCGACGCCGGACTCGCGACAGCGATCGTATAGTGCCTCCTTCCAGACGGCCAGCTTGGCCGTCTGGGCATCGGGCGCGGGGGTCGGCATGATGAGGATGAGGAAGTGAGTCAAGCGCTGATTCTAAAAGGGAATTCGGCGATGCGGCGGGGGAGGAGGTTCTTTCAGGTGAAGCGAAGGAGTAATTTGATGCTACATTGACATTGGATCTCGAGAGTAAATAGAAGAGGTGGAAGAAGGATGCGTATAAGAGAGAAAGGTTTTGGTGGAACCTCGAGTCATGGAAGAAGGTTTGGAAATAATTATTTTTCTATCCTGCGCGAAAGGCCCCCCCGCAGCGCCCGCTTTGCCCAACCCATGGAGCTCTCGTCCCCTACCCTGCTAATCATTCATGGCAGAATCTCGGCAGCTCGGTGTGACGTGGGGTCTGTGCTCGGAATGTGGGGGATCTTATCAGTGTCTTTCGGCCCCCCACTGGAGGGGAACGTCCTCACCCTGTAGGCGTATTACACATCCAGTGTTGGTGACTTTGGTGATCCAGATTGACTTGTTATGTGTGTTTATTGGGTTGTGAAGAATTCATTTGGATATTTTGTCACTTCTTTTATAGAGTTAAGCTTGTGTCGACACGGCAACCTGCCTCCTCGTGGCTGAGTGACTTGCCTCAACCCAATGTGAATGAAGTCATAACGCAGGGAATCACTTGGTCTATGATTCACAAATTCTGAGAGCACACACTCCTATCCAATTTTTGTGCAGAGGAAATCGTAGAATACAACAGAAAACCCCAAGAGGAGAACTCCAAGGACTAAATCGGCTGTGTTTTTAATCTTCATGCTTGAGAACAGGGCATGAACGTGCGTTCAATGTCTGTTGAAATGCCCTCTCTTCAAACAATCTGGTAGGCGGCCCGGGGAACGACGGCGCTTCAGGTGAGTCAACTTTGGAAACTGGCTATCTATGCGGTGGCTGTCATGTGATAGGATTAGCCGTGAGAACGCACAGGGGACGTGCATGTTGGGGCTGACACTGCCTCTGAATAGCCTCACTCTCAGGCTAACTGGGTGATTTTAGGCAGCAGAGGATGAGAAACTTCACGACTAAACAACAACCCTGCGAGAAATATATATGTCATATGATCAGATAAACACAGCCAAAGGCTAACATATTAATTTAAAATAAATGGCTGTCCGCTTTTTTGTTTACTTTGGACATTCTCCTTTTACAATAAACAAACGATACTCAAATTCACCAAATTGAGCAATTGCTATCCAGTACCGCAGACAGCGAACACAGCTATACAATTGATCTGTACGCATGGTCTGCGACAGATCAACTGTATAACCTGCTGATTGCTACAGACCAACTCCCCAAAACAAACAACAGGTATGATCCTCAGCGCTTTCAAGTCGCGAGTCGGTCGCCCTGGGGGCAGCCGCAATACAAATGGCGGCAAACGGCCGCTCATAAACCTTGCGAGAATGAGATCGTTTGGAGATGTGATGGAGGGCATCATCTATCACGGGTGCGTCGAGATCCGGAACCCGTCTGGGAAACTCGCCCGAGCCTTTTCCAAGATGGACATCGATCAACAGGTAGCTGCGTGTCGCAGAAGTCACAGCAACTCTCAAAAGACTCTCCCCGTGGAGATGGACATTGACACGGATTTCAATATGAGATCCTTGGGACTGATACTGTCCCAAATCTCACTTGGTCCAGCAACAACATCCAAATTGTGTCAACCCCGACGTCGAGCGGGAGTCAACAAGAGACAGTTCTGGCAGGGAGCGCAGACAAAGACGAGTGGCGCAAACTGTCTTTGGCGATGAGTATAGTGCTCAAGGGATGCAATAGGTGGGCTGTCGGTTGACTGATCTTTTGAGCTTCAAGTTTTGGAGTTGTGATGATTGATAACGAATAACGAACTATACGAATGATGAGCTATTTTTGTTCGAATTGGAAAGGTATGATATCCGGGTTTGGCTTTTCTTATGGGCGTTTGGTGTCTGGGGATAGAGTATTCTTGGAGTCTGGATGGACATATCAGTTTTTTGATGGTACGATCAGCAGGCACGACAAACAAATTGTTGCACTTGGCATGGCCATGATAACGACTGAAGTACATGGTGAAACAACTATTATATCCTTTCGCTATGATACCAACTAGAAACATGAATCCTCGTAATACGACATGGAATGAGAGATACCCCGGTGCAAGAGAAGCCGATATACCGCCCTCTAAAACTGGCATCTGCCCCTCCCTGCCATTCTATCCCTACGCCTGGAACGCCTTGCCCCAGGCCACATCTTCTCATCGCTATGATACAAGGTGCCCGTCGCATGAACCAGTGTGATACCGGAACTGGGACAAGCACGCAGAGAACGGCTGTGACGTGAGCTGCTGCATTGAACGTGCAACATCAATCGAACCAATTGAGCTGTGAGCCTAACCCCACCGAAACAGCGCCTAGCTTGAAGGGCTCTTGCTCTTCTCCTTGGGTGCCTCTGGCTCCTTTGGCTTTTCTTTCTCGTTGTCCACATCCATAGCGTCACCAGCTGGTTCGGCCTTGTCTTTTTGCTCAGTTGCCTCTGCGGGTTTCTCAGCGGCCTCCTCAGTGGGCTTCGGTTCTGATGTCGTCTCCTTGGTAGCTTCTGGTGCTTCCTTAGTTGTGGACTCCTCTTGTGTAGGCTTCTCAGCGGGCGCTGCTGGTTCGGCAGTAGTTTCGGGCTCGACGTCTTCCTTTTTAATAGTCGTTGTGTCCTCTGCGGGTGCCGAATCCGTCATTCCCACGTCGCCGTCGTTGTCCACGCTGGTCTTCTCGGTCTCCTTGGCTGTCTCCTCTGGTTTCTCAGCTTCCTTCTCTGGCTGATCCTTCTCTGGCTGCTCATGCGCTGACATGTCCTCGATGGTATCGTCGTTTATGTCATGAGTCTCATCACCGGCAGGCTCCTCAACAGAAGCGCCATTCGGAGCCTTGGGCGTGACATTGCCGCTGTCCACCTCCATTTCCCCCTTACGGTAATCGGTAAAGGTGCGCTTGTTGCTATTTTGTCGGGTAGCACCGTGAGCGCGTGCAATTTCGTCATCGTCTTCGCTGGGCTCGAACTCGCCCTCGTGCTCGACTTGCTTGTCCCAACGATGTTCAGTCATGCGAACATCCTTGTTCTCATCTTCGTCCATGTCATCGAGCTCGGCTTCCTCCTCGTCAGTCATACCACCAAATGGCTTTCTTGGGACATCCTGCATCTGCACACTTGGCGCAGGGCCAGTCTGTCGCAGGTTGTCAATGACGGCGGATGTGATCTTCTCGAGGTACTCTCGGCTGTTGGAGTTCTCCATGTTGGAGGATCGCACGTTCAGCTCGAAATCAGGAGCATAGTACTGGCTCTGAGTTAGCAAACATTTCTCACAATAATCATATACCATACCTCGTAGTATTCGTTGTAAGGCAGGGTTCGCTCCATCTCCTGCCCCACAAGAACGCCAGTCTCAAAGGCCCATGTACGGGCGACATTTCGCATCGTGTAGCCACCACCACCAAGCACAAGAGTGGGCAGGTTGAAACTCTTGACAAAGTTGACGCAGTTAGCGTGACCGTCCATGCTCAGGTTGAAGCAGCCCAATCGATCGCCAGAGAGACTGTCGCCACCGCACTGCAAGACAACCGCCTCGGGCTGGAAGTATTTCATGACGTTCTCGATGACGGGCTGGAAGATTGATCGGTAAGACACATCCGTGATGCCGTCTCGGAGGGGAAAGTTGACGGCGTAGTTCTTCCCCTGGCCGATACCGGTGTCTCTGAGTTCGCCAGTTCCGGGGAAGTACTCGCCGTACTTGTGGAAAGATACGGTCATGACGCGGTCGGTCGTATAGAACGCCTCTTCGACACCGTCGCCGTGGTGAACATCGATATCGACGTAGAGAACGCGCTTCTTGAATCGGAGGAGTTCGAGAATTCCGAGGACGATGTCTGGAACATGGTTAGATCATCAACTGGGTGGGTATGGGGAATTGCGCACCATTGACATAGCAGAAACCGCTGGCCTCGCACTTTTTGGCGTGATGGAGACCACCAGCCCAGTTGATGGCAATGTCACACTTTTGGCGGTTCAGGCGCGCTGCGCCCTCCATGCTGCCACCGGCACTGATACCACAAAACTCAAAGAGACCGTCAAAAACAGGACAATCGTCTCCCACATTGTACTTGCCCTGCTCTCGCATGAAGCTATCCATGTTATCGGGCGTCACCTTCTGCAGGAAGTCGATGTAATCGTCCGTGTGAAACTGGGTCATTTCGCCTCTGGTCGCTGGCTTCGCACGCTTCGTAAAGGTCAGCAATGTCTTGCAGCGAAAAGTGGCGTGCAGCGAGCGTCAGAGACCCCGCGGGAGAACTCACGTAGATTTCCATCTTCTGGTAGAGGTTGTACTGCATGATCAAGCTATGCGCCAGACGAATGCGATGAGGCTTCATAGGGTGTCCAGTGACGTAGGCATAATTGCCGATATCAGAATCGTAAAAGTAGGCGACTTTCTTTGGTGATGCGCCGTTGAGCGCGACCGAGCCGAGCTCGACCCGAATGTCGTCGCCCATGACTGCGGCTGCTTAGAGAGCGTCGCGAAGCTTTAGCAGGAAGAGGTGCGAGAAAAGGCTGGCGTGAGAAGGAGGTGTTGAATCTTTGGTGACCGAGATCTTGCAACTTTTTTTTGCTCAAACAGAGCTCGGCATGATCGATCGTTAGGTGGAGAGAGAAGGTGGGAGTTCGAAAAGAAACCATGTAAGAGAGGGAGCACACGGCAGAGAGAGAGGCTGCCAATGCGAACCGCAGCCCAGACCCGGAGCCGGCGTTTACACCGGATTAATCTTACAAGCGGATCCCGATTGGTTCCAGCCACAACGGAATCAGCCCCACTGTGCTGCAGCTCATTTGTTTGAAGCGAGGCTGAGCTCTAGCCACAGAAGATCACGGCACGTGACATTACTAAGCTCCAGAGCTGTGGCTTCCAGGCTGCCGGGCTGTCGTCAACGTCAATACGCTTCCACCTTGAGCTCCGACCATAGCAACGCCCTTCAACATCTTCATCACACCTCACCACCTCCATTTTTGTACCATTCTACACTTGCGCATCTCTACCAGACACTCCCATACACATCACACACATCATGGAGCGCTTTAGGAGTCTACTCGGTGGTGGTGGCATGGGCCTTGGTGGAGCTGCTCCCGGCACGGTAAGCTAGAGCTGCTATTCAAGCTTCCTTTCAGAGGATGCTGGCGATCGAGTGATTGTGCTGACGCGGATAATGCTAGGACAACACGAACCTTATCGATAACTCGGAAACAGTCTACATTTCCTCCCTCGCCCTGCTCAAGATGCTTCGACACGGCCGAGCCGGTGTGCCTATGGAAGTCATGGGCCTGATGCTGGGCGAGTTTGTGGATGACTTTACTGTCAAGGTTATGGACGTGTTTGCTATGCCTCAGAGTGGTACCGGCGTTAGTGTCGAGGCCGTGGACCCCGTGTTCCAGACCAAGATGATGGATATGCTACGACAAACAGGAAGGTTGGTTGATTCAACTGGATAAGCTCTTATTGCACTCACTAAATCCTCTGAACAGACCCGAATCAGTTGTCGGCTGGTACCACTCTCATCCTGGTTTTGGTTGCTGGCTTTCGTCGGTTGATATCAACACCCAACAGTCTTTCGAGCAACTGAACCCCCGCGCCGTCGCCGTCGTCATTGACCCTATCCAATCAGTCAAGGGCAAAGTCGTCATCGATGCCTTCAGACTCATCAACCCACAGCTTTTGATGATGGGCCAAGAGCCCCGCCAGAGCACCAGCAACTTGGGTCATCTCAACAAGCCCTCGATCCAGGCACTGATTCACGGCCTCAACCGACACTACTACTCGATCGGAATCAACTACCGCAAGACGGCACTCGAAGAGAACATGCTGATGAACCTGCACAAGCACGTTTGGACCGAGGCGTTAGAGATGGACGACTTCCGACACGAGGGCTGCAAGAACAAGGACCGGCTACAGCAACTGGTCACATTGGCAGATGGCTACGAGAAGCGTGTGAAGGAAGAGACAGAGTTGACCAAGGACCAACTGAAGACGCGATACGTCGGCAAACTTGACCCCAAGAAGCATCTCGAGGATGTCGGTCAGGAACTCATCGAAGACAACATTGTGTCGGTGTCGAGGCAGATGATCGACAAAGAGGCGACAATGCCGAAAAAGGATGGGTCGGCGGGGAGCAAGGGACAAGCGAATGGGGAGGAAATGGAGGTGGAGGAGGAGTTATAAGCGAGTGGATATGACGATGGCGAGAGAGAGGGACACAAAGATGCAAACCATTGATTGACGAGGCCACGGGATGATGGACTTGTAGGATTATCGGGCACCATACGTAGGCAGGCGTTGGCGGTTGGAAGGGACGATTTAGAGGCCCAGCCATGTCGCGAACTACTAGACAGGTTAGCATCGTACTCATGGCACTAATTCTTGCATGCGATTGTTGATCTGATTGGGTGTGAGCGTTTAGGTCGCGATGGGCGGTGGGCGGGACGAGGCAATCAACGGGAATGATTATGTGGGATGAGGTGTTCAACCCATCAAGATGCATTGCCGATAAAGATACCCTGCAAAACGTCCCCTGAACATGCAGCAAGCGTCTTTCTTTGTTGACACATGAGCAGAACAGGCAGAGGTTGGGCAGCCTAGGATTTTCGCCCTTAAAGTCATGGGTCCCGTCAGACACTGTTGTGTTGTTTCTTTTGGAGGGGCCCATGCATCCATCCAGGCTTGGAATTCTTCTGTCATCCAGACCCTTCCAATCAATTTAAACAAACAAGACCACACGAATTAATCCCGTCAGGCAGAGAGAAAAAAACAAAAAACTAATTACCTGGTTCGCCCCTTTTTCATCTCGGTAGATGGGCAAGGGAGCCGGCGTCCACTTGAGGGACCACAGTCTCCCGTCATTAGTAAGTTCCAAGTTCCTTCAGCTTTACCTGCCCCCCTGGCCCCCCTGACACGCGCCTGTTCCCGTCCCGAAGCTTGAGTACAGTCCGTTGTTACTCAGTATTGAATTGTAAAAAAGTATCTTTACATGATAATGGCTTTTGGGTCATTTCTGCGATCACTTCTGAGCGGACTCTCCACCTCTGTCAAGCCTTCTCACGTCGCTGTGCAGAAGCTTCAGAAGGCAAGAGGGAGCCCAAGCCCACCGCCACGCACCAAACCACAGCGACAACGCACGCCGGAGCGGGATCTGCGGGACAAGAAGCGGGCGCGCGTCGACACCTGGAGCGCGTCGTCATCATCGCGAGCCCGCACACGGTCACCGAGAGAGACACAGGTTCATCACCAGAGGGCACGGGATCAATTACACGAGAGGAATCAGGAACAACAGCATCAGCATCAACAGCAGCAGCAAAGGGCCCGCGATAGCTGGTCCGCCGCTACTGCTTCCGCCACCACGACGGCCACTGCCGCCATCACCAGGGAGGCCTCGGTTACGCGCAACAGCCACCACGGGCGTACTGACTCCCAGCATCGAAAAGTCCGCGAGAGCTGGCCAGCCTCGACAAGAGAGCCATCTGCCACGCGCAGCCACGGACCTACTGACCGCGTTACTCGCCGTCACACTCACGCTCCATCGACGACGACGACACGGCGGGACCGCAGTCAGAGCCGCCATGGCACCAACCGGCTACTTTACTCGGCCAGCCCAGCCAGCAACATGGGAGTCGTCAGCGCCACCGACCGAGCCATGGCCCCAGACATTGTGCGCGAGGTCATCAACCTCATTGCCGTCCGCTTCAGCCACATCCCCTACGCTGTGAGCGGCCACGCTGCTATGGCCTACTACGGCTACGATGTCAAGCCCTTCAAGGTAAGCATCATCTGTCCCGAGCACACCCGCAAGCCCCTGAAGGGCTGGGCCCGGACACATGACATGCTTCCCATCCCCGGAAAGACGGACATCTGGGGCATTCCGACGTCCGACGGGCTCTTCCGTCAGGTCCGCGTGAGGTTCCCCTACGACTTTGGCAGCGCGCACATTGTCAAGGAGGGTCCAACGGCCGCCGCCGTGCTGTCGCTGCCTGGCTTGGCCGACGAGTTGGCTAGGACCTACGTGAACGAACTCAAGCACGCTGATCTGAGGAGGCAAGAGTCTCTGGGTAAGGAGCTGATGTGGGTGCTACGGAGGATCTCTACCCTCAAGCATGACGACCACTGGCTCAGACCCGAGAGAGCGCCGCACCTGGTCCAAGACCGGTTCTGGCTTCCCTTTTCCCTATCATACCCTGCCTCCGTCCCCCTATTCGCGGCGGCGGGATGGAGCATACCTAATGCGGAGAGCTGGTGTTCACCTTAATGAGGAGAATTTATGTCGAGAAACGACACGATGGACGACGACGATGTGAGAGTAATGGAGCATGTGAACACGGGTCATTTAATATTGCATACAGGCGGGCGCATTTGGGGCATGCATTGGAGTTATCGGCATTTACTGGCATTGGATTGGGACAAGCGACAAGACATTCCTGGGATTGGGACTTGATTTTTATCGTCAAATATGAACGACACGATGCTTATGACTACCCAACAACATAGACTAATCACGATAACTACTCCTCTCTGTACATAGATAGTACCCGCAAAGGTCAGAAAGACAGGACAGACCAATATAGATATAGCATACAGCATAGGATATGTATATGGCCAAAGTATATTGCATCATGACATGAAGTTGGATGTTGGTGAGGCTTGTCTGACTTGAGTAGGGCTGTGTCGTGATGCATGCAATACAACACAACTAGCCTTGTATTCGCCGCGATGAGGTAGCTCAGATCGGTCTTACACAGCTGTAAGCAGTACATACCATTGGATGAGAGCTACATATTGGTCTTGGCCTAGGCAAGGATGCCATGCATAATCGCCGCGACTATTACCCCCTGCCCCAGAAGCGATGCACCAGGGAGGCTCCAGAGGACACGCAGCACGAAGCCAATTCGTATTAGAGCGAAGTCATGTATGGAAACTCTATCTGACAAGGCCCAGGGGTTCCAGTTGACTGGCTCCATGCGGATGCTTCAATGCACTCCAATGTGTGGACCTATCTGACGGATCCTCTTTCATCCAACACAACTCATCCCCAAAGCTTTCTCAGATAGGGATGATAGGCGATGTGTCTTCAACCTTGAGCTGATTGAAACATGGCACCGGCCCGGCTGACGATGTAGTCAGCCCAGACGGTAGCGTAGCTCATGTGGACAGTGAGGTTCTGGCTGCCAGCCTCACAGAAAGGATCACCAGCATCACAGATGGAGATGGTCTTGTTGACAATGGCCTTGCAGCCATCGGGGTTCTGACGGGCGAGAACCTAGGAACAAGGTGAGTTGATGTTCAACGAGTTGGTAGTGAGGTGAACTTACACCGCTGCCGTCGCTGCTCCCAACGGTGAAGGGCTGGCCCTCGACAAGGCTGGGATCGCCCATGACGATGATGGCAGCAACTGTGATGGTTAGCAAAGATCGAAAGATGACGATGTTGCTATTGCTTACCCTTGCTGGAGAAGGACGATGGGAGGGGAGCGGTCTCAGGGAAACCGGTGGAGCTGGCACCGCAGAAGGTGTCCATGGTGACATGAGCGCCCTATAACAATGTCAGAGGCATTCCTAACAAGATGAACGACAAGCATACCTGGGAATACCCAAGGATGATCACCTTGGTGTTGGGGCACTCGTGGGTAAAGTCACCAACAAGCTGGGTCATGGCGGCAACACCAGCCATCTGCGAGGGGTTGTAGGGCTCAAACAGAGCAGGGTAGATGAGGGACTCGACATCAGAGCCAGGAACAAGATTCTTGATACGCTCAGCGACGGGACCCAGGACACCAGGGCCCTGGGGCTCCTCGCTGCCGCGGGCGACGACGATGTGTGCACCGGGAGGGCACTGGGCCGAAGCCAAGGCCACGAAGACCGCGATGATCAAAAACAGAAGCATGGCTCTCATTTTCTTGACGAGAAATTCTAGGAAAAGAGGTGAGAAGGGATCATTCTAGTGACATGGCACTCTTGGGGCCGACTTACTGGGTGTATGTATCAGCGATACTTGGTGTTTTCTGCGGGCGGCGGAAGGAAGAAGACGGTTTCTGCTCACGATGCGTTGGAAAGGTTTTGAGAAAGATCTTCAGATGCGAGAAATGAAGGCGAAGAAGAAAGGAAGACAAAATGGGTGGAGGCCTGAGGGCGGATTTATGATGTGCGCTCTGGCAGTGCCAGAGATACTGACACTGGCGCCCCACTGCCAACTTGACAGTGCCATTGCAAGCGCATTGCCGGCTTTCTTAAATCTGTAGCAGAAGAAGCTGAGACGAGGGTCTTTGGGCTTCCTCCCTTGATATTGAGGTCCAGTTGATGCTATGGGCTATGGGTTGTTGTGCCCCCTTTATGTGCAAGACCAGTATCACTTCACTTCCAATCCTCATCCGACTACCATGGAGACCACGCTCATATGTCCAACTGGGCCCTTCCTTGCCATGCTTCCACCCTTGGCCCAGTATGTGACGAGCAGCCATACCAAGACCCTACCCCTGAAGCCACACCGTGATCATCTGAACATGCCGGTGGCATTTAGGCGCGGTGAAACATGGAAACAGCAAAATCAGCAGCGATGTCCCCGTAGGCGACCACATAGTTCATGTGAACGGCTAGATCATGGCTTCCTGCTTCGCAGAAGGGGTCACCGGCGTCGCAGAACGAGACGGTCTTGTGGGAGATGCATTGGCAGCCGCCTGGTCGCTGGCGGGGGAATATCTAGATGTCTTTTGTGAGTGTCTAATCCTTATTTGAGATGGTATTGGATTATGTACTTACGCCATTGCCCTGACTGCTTCCCATGTGGAAGGGTTGACCTTCGGTGGTGCTTGGGTCGCCCATCAAGACCAGTGCAACAACTATCATACGTCAGTATTCAACGCAGCAACTACCGCGGAGGGTACTGCAAGTTCACCCTTGCTGGAAACCTTGGGCGGCTGTGGCTTTGTAGCTGGAAAGCCTTCGGAGCTGGTACCGCACATTACATCGGCAATGATGTGAGCACCCTATGTCAACTTAGCAACCTTCTTCCATTAACAGCCGCTACATGGCTTGGGCTGCTTACCTGCGAGAAACCAAGGAGTATCATCTTGGTCTTGGGACAAGCCTTGGCGTAGTTGTTGACAACCTCAGTCAGAGTCCTAACGCCCTCTGTCTGAGACGGCTCATAAGGATCGTACTGGGCCGGGTACACAAGAGAAACCATGTCAGAGTCTGGGATCCGGTTTAGGATCTTGTCGGCGACCTCTCCGATGATGCCTGGGCCCTGAGCTTCGAGACTACCTCTGGCGACGATGACATGGGCTCCAGAGACGCAGTTAGGACGCTCGTAGTCTTTGGCAGCGGCGAGAGATGCAAGGAGGACGGCGGTGTTGAGGATGGAAAGCATGGCTTTGGTTGACTTGACAGAACAGAGAGTTAGATGAGATAGACAAGGTGGACGGAAGCAACTGACTCGAAGGTTATAGAGCACGGGACCAACTTTGACAGGATAAATGCTCTAAACAGCGGATTAGAGAAGCCTAAAGAGGAACGGACTCGCAAGTTGACAGTCAAGATGAACGATACAGTCCAGGTAGAGAGAACAAGTCAGGACAAAGACATGCAAAGACGGAACAACTCATATATCATTCAAGAGTATCCAAAGCCCGCATGACATGTCCATCAGATTGCCATGGGTGAAACCATCCTTTAACACTGAATCACACTATCTGTTTGGCTGTGACGAAAATGCGAAAATAAGCCATCCCGCAACCATAACCAAGAAAGAGACATAGGACAAGGGTTTCTTTTCTTTTTTCGTCTACAAGTCAACGCCACGACGATAAACGAAAGACAAGGGCTGTTGATTAAAAATAGAGCAATTAATTTACCCACCCCTTGTTTAGTCGCGGGGGGTCGGGGGAGGTTGTATGCCGCAATAATTAAGTCATCCGGGGGCGACGGCAAGACAAACAGAAAAAAAAAAAAGTTACAATTAACAACGAAACAATCAATTTGAAACAAGACACGACCAAAGAGGACGAGATGACTAAATCTACTCTAGATGAGCTACTAAAGGCTCCAGAGGCTCAAATCCGCTCTGTCCTGCGCGCACTCTGCAGCGATAGAACCGTCCAGCGACACGCCCTCGAACACTTTGACGCGCTCAAGAGTGAAGAGGGCAGTGGCGGTGGTGGACAGAAGCGCAAGGCGGCTGGCGATCTCTTGATATGCGTGCAGTGCGACCAGCCATTTACCGAGGAGGAAAACGATAGAAAGGCGTGTTGGTATCACTGGGGTGAGTGTTTGCCAGTTTCCACTGACGTGTGTATGAATGGACAACAAATGACACGATGAGAGATGTCATGGAACTATTGATACGGACGCGATGCGCGAGGAGTACCCAGATGGCTTCACGTGGAATTGCTGTGATAATGCAGGGAGTGAGAAGGGTTGCGTGAGTGGCAAGCATGAGGCCCATCCCAATCGCTCCAAGAAGGCATCGGGTGTTGAGCCATCAGACAGTGAGGAGGATTGGGGCGATGACGACGAAGACGATGAAGATGGATATTAGCAAACAACAAGTGACCCTGTCACGTCACTTCAACACAAACAACACCGTCATATCAATCTTCAACACATTGTCATGGATTTCAAGCATAACGAGATTCCCAAACTCCCAGCCTATGGATGGATCATGTTGCCCAAAAAGGATATTTGCCCTCCTTCACTCTCCTCCTCTCGACACGCACGTCAAAAGACAAGCCCACCCTGGGACTTGTAATTACACGACATGAAGAGTCTGCAAATCGTCTCGAGTCCCCAAAGGCCAGCCAGCATCATGTCATTACCCGATACTCCGTGCGCCACAATGCAAGTCAGTCCAGTCTCGTCTCAGTAATCTGATCCTCCCCTGTCCACATGAGCCCTTGGGCTCCGACCCGTCGGGCCTCCAATCGTCTTGCCGATAATCTGGACCAGGATAAGAATGTGCAACATCCACCCCAGGACCCTCTTCTAATGATGGCCCTCTAACATAAATCCAACTTCTGTAGAACGCCTGTCAAGAGGCTGAGCCTTCACTGACGACTCTGTTGCTGGAGCGCCCCTCGACTCTATATCAATGGGCCCCTATGCCCCCATGATGGGAACCTTCTTGTTTCTCTTGCCCAACAGCGTGGCGTTCTCCAGGTTCAGTTCGAAAGCGCCACGCTGGCGATTCCGGTCTCGTACTTGTTGCCGGGCTGCTGCAGCCACAGTCGCCGAGTGTTGACCGTAACCCCTTTCAGTACGTTCACGCTCCCGTCCTCGAGTCTCGTGGTGTTGTTCTTGGTCTCGGATGTTGGTTTTTCGCATGCTCTGCTCCAGAGCCTGGGTCGCTGCGTTCGGCTTGGCTGCCGCGTTGGGATCTTGTCCGTCAATCTGCATGACATCCTCATCCTCCTCATCTTCTTCGTTGAGAGCTCCAATGAATCTTGCGGGGCCACCCTTGGCACCGATCTGAGCCCTCCGCTTTCCCTCCTCCTCTTGGCGGTGCACGGCGTAGCCAACATCAAACACCTCACGAAGGTTGACGGCGCCGGGAGATCGGAAGTCGTAACGCTTACCAGAATCCTCAAACTTGGTCGCATCAAAGGCTCGGAGCACCTCGGGCTTCTTCTTCTCCTCACGGGGGGTGGGTCCGTTTCCTCGGATCCAAGGGTGTGCCAGGAATTCGGTAATCGTGTATCTCTTCTCAGGGTCCACCGTCAGGAGGTGGCTGATGAGATCCTGGGCAGACTTGGAGATGTCGTCCCACCAAGGCGACAGGAAGGTGTATTGGCCCTTAGCCACCTTCTCTGTGAGCACCTCGATGCTCTCATCGTAGAATGGTGGGAAACCGCAGAGTAGTGTGTACAACACACAGCCCAGCGCCCACATATCGACTGACTTGGAGTACCGCTCATCCTTGACGATTTCGGGGGCCGTGTAGCCAACTGTTCCACAAGGCGTCATGGTCTGGTTATCCCAGACAATCTTGGAAAGACCAAAGTCGGCAATCTTGATCTGGCCGATGCCACCCGCGCCCTGACCGTGGACAAACTCGCCCTCATCGACCTTGTCCTCATCGCCGGGCTGCTTGGGCTTAGGGTGCTTGGACGGCACAAAAGGAATGGGGTTGAACAGGATATTCTCAGGCTTGATGTCACTGGCAAGGGGTTAGCTATCTCATCCAGGGCCGTGCAGAGGCGAATGACGTCAGGAGGGGCATCACCACTTCTGGTGGACTGGCCCTCTGACATCAACCACCAGGCAACAAAAATCATGACATACCGATGAACGACACCCTTCTCCTCGTGGAGATACTCGAGGGCCTTGGCGACTTGGACAATGACGTGTCGGGAGAGTTCTTCACTAAAGTATGTCAAGCGAACAATCTGGTGGAAGAGCTCGCCTCCAGGGGCAAGCTCAAGAACAATGTAGTAGTACTGCCGTGACTCGGAGAACTCGACAAGCTTGATAATGTTGGGGTGGTCAAGTTGGCGCATAATTTGCACCTCCTTAAGAATGTTGGATCGCTGTCTTCAGGTTAGTATTCTGTTTAGCTCATCCGCGAGTCTGCCGGCCATTTATCCTCGTCGAGAAGACAACGGAAATAAATGAAAATCCGACGAGGATGGCGGCCCAGACGTAAAGAAATAGTTAAGAGAAATCTTCTCGCACCTCTGCTGCCTTTGGGACGTTCTTGAAGTCTGGATGTAAATGCTTGTTTCCCTATGAAGGGGACAACCCCGTGGCGTTGGTAAATGGGGACAAAAGAGAGTACTCCAAAAGCAGGCAAGAAACACAGGCATTAAAGAAAGGAGAAAGGGCGACGTAGATACAGACGACCCTGGGCAAGCTCACCTGCATGCTGTTCATCTCGTACTTGCGTACGACCTTGATGGCGACTTCGCCTCTCTCGCCCGTGGTGTCGCGGGCACGGTAGACGTTGCTGAAGGCGCCGTCGCCCATCTTGTCGACGAGCTCCCAGCGCTCGAGGCCAGGGTAGCGAGGGAACTTGCTCTTACTGGCGTTCTCCTCGGCGACGAGCTTGGCGAGCTTCTCATCATCGTAGCGCTTCTTCTTGCTTGAGTACTCGTCGTTTGCGTAGTCGTCGATGGGTTCTCGTTCGCTCGAATGTCCATGGCCGGGGTCGCTCTCATTCTTGTGCTGGGCAGGCGCAGGTTGAGAGGCCTCATTCTTACGCGGCGACTCGTCAGGGTTTCCGGCGCGAGCCTGCTTGCCTAGAGCACGAGAGTCAGCGCTGGTGCTACACTGGCCAAAGAAACTACTTACCGTGCCGGATAAAATTCTTGAGCTGTTGAATGGTGGACATGGCTGTCGAAATTGTCGCCTAGGCGCGACAAGCCGCCTTGGGAGAGAAATTTGGACCTTGGGTCTACTACCGTAGCAAGACGGAGGACAATGGAGTTTGCCACAAAAGTCGGGGTTAAGAGCTCGTGGTCGCTAGCTTGAGCGTGGTTCTCTGATCTAATCTAGGGCGCGATATGCCGTCTAAGTCGTGCGAGTCGTGATGGTAATCGTCGGGCGTATGTTGAGTGTCGCAGAGCTCAACAGTCTGGAGAGACAGGCCAGGACAGACAGGGCTGGCTGAGCTGCGGATGATGCGGGGTTTAACAGGTCGCAGAAGGGAGCTCTACTCTAGTGGAGCGTCTTGTAGGGGATCTGACGTCGTACAGTGGCGTGTGGCAGAGGATGGGACAGGACAGGACAGGATGTGAAGTAGTGTCGAAGAGGAGAAGATCAAGGTTGAAGAGCAAAGGCGTAGTAGGTTTGGAGAAGAGAAGATGGATGGATGGAGGTGAGAAAGCAAAGCAGAAAGGATGGAATTAGGTGACTGCCTTGTGGTTGGTGGTTGCTAATAAGAACCCAGTTCTTTTTTTGATGGGGGGCGGGAGGTCAAGAGATTTGAGAGGTGACGGAGCGGAGGGACCTAAAGAATGGGAAAGAGTGGGCGCCCAGTACCAGTACCAGTGCAGCAAGGCAAGGCAAGCCCACTTTCAGTGGCAGTTTTTAGCAGGATTCTAAGCCAGCGCCAGCCCAGGCGGATGGGGATGGGGTGGAGATGGGGCGTCCGGGTCTTGCGTCTGCGTCTGCGAGAAACCTGGAAATAGGTTGGATTGGATCCAGGGGGTTTAACGTGAGAGTCTGGGGGTGAGGTTACTGATGAAAGTGAGAGGTGAAAGCCACAGAGGCCGTTTTTTGAACTGATAGAGTGGAAACAGCCTGGGACAGTGTTGGGATGAAGACGGTGGTGAACGGCGTGTCCGGCGGCTGAGATGAGACGAGGCCGTGCTGAAAAAAACAAGGCGTGACGTTGACGAACCCCGTTGTTACAACGTTGAGATTGAATTCAAGCCGGTAGTGGCAGTTTAACAGAGGGTCAAGAATAATTACAAAGCAAGAGTTGAAAAGAGTCGTGACATTCTGGAGCATCAAATTCGAGTCAAGTCATGGGGTGTAGAACGTGATGCGATGAAGAAGAAAAGACACCCGCGACGGGAAGCACCAAATGTCCGGGGGCATCATCCACGGAAGCGGCAGTACCTCGACGGTACAGTACATTACATTGCCATCCCATCCATTACACCCCCAGGCAAGGGAAGCGAACGCCTACGGGAATGACACAAGCTAAAAAAGGGTCCAGGCCGCCAAAGCCGCCGCGGAGGCTGCACACCTTTACTCGACGAGGAACATGATGATGGCATCACCCTCCGCATTCCCTTGTTAGAGTGGGCTAATCTGTAGCCACCATGTGCCTTTGCATGTGCGTGGCATCATCACTTTTGCTCATGTTATTCTACAACACGATACTGTACAATGTCAGTAATGCAACAGCTGACAAACCCTTCATTCCTGGACACTGGTGTTTTTTTCTCAAAAGAGACCTGGACTACAGCTGGAAATCGTGCTTTGGCGAGATCTCCGCCCCGCCCCGTTATGACGCTGCCGACGACGTCATTTCCCTGTCGCCAGCGGGCATTGTACAGCTCCACCATCCAATCATGGCCCCTGGTTAAGCTGCACGCCTTCTTGGCTCCCCAGTGGCGCCTGTTTCCAGCGGGAGGGTCGCTGAAATCACAGCCCGAGCACGCGCAGCTTTCAATTCATCCATGGATCATTCACACTCACAGCCGAGAGCGAGAGTAACAGCAGCAGCATGGACGGACGCTAGGAAGCAGCCACTGACCGTTCCTGCTCCAAGGTTAGGCTCCCCGGCTACAGCGGTCCCATCGGGTCCCATTTCCCAGTTCTCCTTCAGATGCAACTCGAGGCTTGTGATGATGGATTCTTTTGTTTATTACGGAGTATCTCGAGGCTAATCATTTTAGATCTCTCCACTGTCGAGACGTTTATTCTCTTGGCAGGCATCAGCTTGTTTCTTTGTCTTTTTTACACTCATCTCATGGTGTCACCAAGCAGATCCGTTCCTCAACAGACGAGTCATGGAAGAGTCAAGACCACCTGCATCACTAAACTATTGCTTCATCTTCTGCAACAAGAATGGAAAATGTTGACCTTGGATGCTGATCATAACGAAGCACCGCTGATACACCTGCATACGGTGCAACACGGGCACCCAACAGCAGGTTGCCCTTCACTGAGGCTAGCCCGGATCAACACTTGCTGTCGCTTTTGCCAAACACACGCAACGTCAGCCCAAAACCGGCTTTTGGGTTTGGGGAGCGGGGGCTTGCCGCTTGGCTTTTGCGTCTCTTGACAGGGTTATCCAATGGCTTTTGATGCCATCCATCCCATGCCCTCCCCCTCCATCGGCTGCCCGTAGACTCGGACGTGCCAATGTCCCCGTAAAGGTTGCCCTTGGTCGGGTCTGGACCTCGTTTTGGACCCTGGCTGCATACTGTACTTGTACGAAGCCAAGGCTGACGAATGTCTCGTCTTTGGCCGTACCGTACGGATAACTCCCTCAGCTCGAATACGGTGTCATGTTTGCTTGCCGACTCTATTTCTGCTTGCCTGTCACTGATTTGCCGGCACAGCTGTTGGTGAAAACTCTTTTTTACTCTTGAAACCGCACTAGGTGCGTGTTGCACGTTGGCTCTCTTCGGGCCTTGGCCTGTACCTGGCCATCATCTCCATCCTCAGCCCAGCACATCCTGGCTATGGACAGTCCATCTCCAGTCTAGACCAATGTTGGCCCAGGATCTCAAGTCTTGCCAGTCCGACATTTCCGCTCATCGAAATGCCGCCATTTGAGACTCAATGCGAGGGCAGTTTGAAAGGAATTTCTCTTTGAGGACTCTGGCGCCCATAAGCGCTATGACGCGGCTCTCTCGCTTCGTGGGACGTCTCATCCTCAAATGCATCTTGATGTGATGTCATGACGCGGCTGGCGCCTGATGGCCAACACTTGCTGATATCATTCACCGAAACCCAAGAGCTTGTCTCAGCCGCTTGACGTTATCTCCCAGATCTAAGATGGGTGTCGAGTGTTGCCTTGCCCTTGACGTCTAGACGCATGCTATTAATGGCAGCCTGGAAGTGACCACGCCCTGACTAGCATGGATCTTTGAACAAGGCGCGTCAACGACATGCGCCTTTGTCGTCAGCGTCTTAGACAATGTGTCTGTGCCTTGCTTGATATTCCTAGATATGGAATGTAACCCCCCTGATCTGCTAGCTGAACAACTTGTATTCAAACTATTCTCATCAATAACTCAATAACTCAACACAACTGTCACATATACACAGCGTCTGAACGACGCAGATCATCGCTATAAACACAATCATACATCATAAAACATCACGCCGAGCACGTCAAACTCCTATGGCTATCTTGGTTCACTTTGTACGTAAATATATCGCAGAAAAACGCACCGCCCCCGCGCAGCTCCCGGTCCTACAACTTGAAGCATCGATACGGGACTTCGTGACTCTCTGCGTACGACCTGAGCTGCCTGTTCTTCCAGCCGTAAAACACCCTCAGGCCTAGAGCCACGATGGCAACAAACATCAGCAGTGCTGCGTTGACCCAGTGGCCGGTCGTGAAGCCGTCGTCGCGCTCTGATGTCTTGTAGATCCATACACCGGGGATCTGGCCGATACCGCCACCTAGACTCACGTTGATGGCGATGGCGAGACCTGTTGACGCTGTTGTGAAGACGTTGGAGCTGAGCCATCCCAGCATGGGCGGTATACACGAGAAGGAGCCTGCAGTGGCGAGGATGAGACCACCGTACCGTGCCTTGTAGGCATGGACGGGTAGAGCTGCTGATACGATAAAACCGATGGCGCCAACGGTCGAGGCCATGGCTGTGTGGACGCCTCGAGCGTTGAAGTGATCCGCCGACCACGCCACTAATACCTGGCAGACTACACATACAATCAGCGCCATTCTTTCATAACTACTCGAATAACTTACCATATGCAATGGCCCACGGAGGCACAGTCATCAGCTGGGCCTCGGGGTCAGCAAAATCCAATCCCACCGTGATGGACGGCGCAAACAAGCTCAGACTGGCAAAAGCTGGACCTGAGGCAAAGTAGATGGCGTAGTGGGCGTACAGACGCCAATCCGTCAGAGTCTCGCGAGCCTCGGCCCATGTCATGGCGGGCTGCGATTCCTTACTACCCTCGTAGTATAGCCGATGGATGGCCATGTCCTTTTCGGCCTCGGATAGCCACTTGGCACGCTCCGGGTAGTCGGGCAGGAAGAAGAGCACGAGGAAGGCGGCCAGACAGGATGGGATGCCTTCAAGGATGAAGAGCCAACGCCACCCCGAGAGGCCGCCGGTGCCATTCATGTGGCCGATGCCGTAGGCGATTGCGCCGCCGAACTAGACAGTGTAAGTCGCTAGACGAGTTGTTCAAATAAGGTTAACTCACTGCGCCGGCAAGTGTAGCTGATGCCAGGATAAAGGCGACCCTGCATGCAGTAAGTATCTGCTGTCGTGCCAAGCCGGACCAAAGGCTCATGAACCCCTCGGCCAAAAAACTCACCTAACACTGCGCTCGTCGTGCTTGTACCAAAAGGTCAGGTAGTAGACCAAGCCAGGGAACAGGCCGGCCTCGAATGTTCCGAGTAGGAATCGCACAGCGGTGACGCTGGCAAAGCTGTTTGTCGCGGCCGTGAGGATCGTCATGGCGCCCCAGCAAAACATGAGGAAGGCTAGCCATCGGCTTGGGCGCAGCTTCTTGAGGAGGATGTTGCTAGGGACCTCGAAGATGGCGTACGAGACGAGAAAGACCATGAGCGAGTTTACAAACTGCTGGTCCGTCATCTTGGTCTCGTGCTGCATGTCGTGGTTGGTGGACAGGTTGAGGACCATGGCGTTGCCGATGTTTGTTCGGTCGAGGAAGGAGAGGAAGTAGATGGCGGCCGAGAGCGGGATGATGCGCAGGTCCTGCTTCCAGAGCAGATCGCGCTCGAGAGGGCTCATGTGTACATCGTAGTGGACGGGGAGTTCCTTTGCGACATGGTTAGAGCTGAGAGATATTCGAGAAGTTGAGGTATTACATCGTCTTTCAGAATGGTCGAATCGACGTCGTCGACGGCTGCGGGAGGAGGAAACGGGATGGGAATGGGAATCTTTTCGGGAGGAGTGGCGGCCATGGTCGACATTGCCGCGCGCCGTCAGCGGCGGCCGTTTAAAGAGGCACAAAAGATGTTGTCGTCGAGTTTTTGTCTCTGATGGTCGGCGATCGGCAGGGGAGGAGGCGAAAGGATGTGGTACAGGGCGGGTGACCCCTTTCCGGTAGATGGACGATTATTTAACGCGGCGCGACAAAAGAAAAAGAAGAAGCTATAGATCGTAAAGAGGGACAAGACCCAGAAAACAAGAAACGCCAAGGACAAAGAGGCCTATATATATCGTGATCTGGCCGGGGGTGGCGTGGTAGTAGAAGAGATGTGATTGAGATAAGAGAGCGAGAAATGAAGTGCTTTTTTTTTCTTGTCCGTCTTGGTTCTCCAGTTCTTTTTTTCTCAACAGCACCACTTTCAGGCGCAGGCCCATGGACACCGCCGACTCAGACTCGCTCGGGATGGAGAGGGAAATGCGGGGGAGAGAGAGAGACAGAGAGAGTGTCGGCCAGGCCATGGATGGATATGGATGGATGGATGAGCTCCAAGGGCAAGGATCCACTGCCGATCAGATCACATCAACACTTGAGAGGTCCAATGACTCGCAGTGGCGCCATGGGTCTTTCCTTTTCGTCTCTTTCGTCTTCTCTCTACAGAGGTTGGAGACTTGAAACAAGGTTATCTGTAAGCCGATGCAGAGAGCTTGTTCTTTATTCCCGAGCACCATGACCGCCGAGCTGCAGAACCGCAACAGCAACACGCGACTTGACCCTCAACTGCGGCGTGTCCATTTTGGCGCGGGGATGCCTGTTTTAAAATGAACAAAAAGCCCCAGTCTCATAAGCGGAACCTTTATGACCCTCCCCTTGTCTTGTCCACTTGCTTTGATTGAGTGACGAGACGAGAGACGGGGAGAGACAAGCGAACCGAGCCCGAGGCGGCTACCCCCACTCGAGATCTTCAAATCCCACCCTTCACTCGCAGCACGCGACTCGACGAGAATGAAAAGTCTTTGGAGGGCGAAAAAAAAACTCATCACAGACATGGCCCGCTCGGCAATCCAATTGTCAAGCCTGTTGGCGAGCGGGGGACCCAGAAGGATTGCTACAAGGGCAGGGGAAGTTATTATTTCAAGGCTGCCCAATGCGTTGTTGTTGTTGCCGTCATGTCCCGATGGCTGATTATTCCCGAAACGGCGTTTGAGAGAGAGAAATGCCAACTGACTCACTTTCTGTCTGCAGCTCGTTTTTTCCCGACCCAATTGCAATCACCGTGACACAAGGCTCCGCCCGTTATTTCCTAGACGGGTCGACGGCCTTCGGCTCCGGGCCGGGGTGGGGCATCCTCCGGTCCCGGAGTAAGACAAGGTCACGCTCTCACACTCAATTGTCCGGGGAAATAATAAACGCGAAAAGATTAGCCATGGGGGGAGGGAGATTACGAATCACAAGAGTCCACTTGGCTACGAGTTACCCAGATCGAGTATCCCGAAAAGATAGAGATCAATGCATTAGAGACTATCAACGTTGTGCAACCCATCCCCCCTCCTTCTCGGTATTCCTTTTCCCTCTTTTCTTTCTATTTGGAATCTTTGAAAAGGCTGCCCGACCTCGGGACGAGGTTCTGCAACCTTGAGAGGTCAGTTGATCGTCAATCGTCGTGCGTTGCGCCGGCCGCGGGTTTAAGGATATGTACCGAAAATGCCTGATGTCGCCATCACGCTTTGTATTGTAACCGTAACATCAGTTGACTAATAACTGAACTGCCGTACAATGACGTTCCATCTATCTATGCGAAGAAGATCATCCACATTAATCCTCCGATGGCCAGACTAACCATGCCACGACCATGCACATCTTTAACCCAGCGCCAGCCCACAGCGCACCTGCTATCCCGACTGAGCTCTGAGCAAAGAGTCCTCCCGTGACGACGCCCAGCAGTAATAGTAGAGGCGCCAAAGCTCTCTGGTTCCTCGGCACGTTGTCAAACTTGAACAGGTTGCTGTCGGAAAACAGATCGCAATACGCGCTCGTCAGGACCACGCTGATGAGGGCGTCTCGCCGAAGCACCCGGCTTATCACTGCTTGCCCACAGCTCTGGAACGCCATGAGCGAGATGGGCACGAGCACGTTCCACGCGAGGTCGTCGCCGCCCGGGGGATCCGCGCCGACGATGATGGCTGCGGCTGCTGTGAGGAGGGCCTGTATTGTGAAGGAGGCGGCGAGGACCCATCGACGTCGTGGAGAGAAGTGATGGTGGAAGCGACCAAAGACAAACGAACCGAGGCAGAAGGCGGCGATGGATACGGCTGACTTGATGAGCCTGGGACCTGGTGTTGTTGTTGCTAGGCTTGCGAGGCCGAGACCGACATACACCGTGTTTCCTATCAAAGACCTGTCAGTCTTGTGTGTTTCGGTGAGCTAAAGTAAGACTAACCTGTCTGCATAGACACAAATGTGCCCCAGACCTGTATCGAGGCGCTGTCGAGAAGTCCGGTCACGACATAGCAGGCAAGGAGAATTGCGTCTGTCCACGAAAAATGAAGGTCGTCCACCAAATGGCTCTTCAAGCCGGTCCTTTGCCGTTTCGAAGAAAATCCTCCTAGCAGCGGCGTCTCCTCATCCGTCCTTCCGACGCTGTTGGCCGTTGTGCGATGCATGGCGAAAGACGTTCCCTTCTGGTCTCGGCTCACTCAGTCACGGCAACAACGAAACAGTATAAACTTGCTCTGCACCTCTGAACAAGCACGAGACCAGATTCCTTTAACGATTTCAAAGTTGGGCAGTAAGCGAAGGACATTTAAAAGGCCCCAAGGCAAACTTTTGTTCCGATGACGACAGGTTCCTCGCCAAGCTTAGTGTAATACCCACTTTCCTCGGTCAAAGGCCATGTCTCCGTGGCAAAGATAGGAATAGGTTACAATGGCACTAAGGCTAACCGATGCGTAGCATTCCGTTCGTGATAAGCCTGCTAAACTGGTCTGGGCCTTTCTGAGTTGTAAGACTGCAAGGGCATGACTCAAAAAATAACGGCATGTGCTTTGCCTCGCTAGTTCTGTGTATGGCCTCAAAACCTCTAGTGGGTTTTTTCACATGAACAATAGATTGGTAGACTTTGCTGGGTTCACATGCTCAAGACATGTCTCACGAACGGTACTTGGGGGAACCCTGGTGGTTCAGTCCCATAAAAACAGATGTTGGAACAAGGAGGCCGTATTACGAAAATTGGACTGGAACTCTATCTCCGGTTGTTACCTTTGTGTCTGTGCCCAACGTGGATTTTTCCTGTCCCGACATCGCTATTGAGTTGAGGCCGTCGTGACAACAGTGATAGATCATACTGAGGTTGACACGCTGCTGCTGTCAGGTCCCTTCATGTTGTTACCCCAGCCAAGGCAAACTATACAGGACAAGATCCAACTTGAAGTGAGTTTCTAGGACTGTAGTCATTAGTCATGACTAAGGCTAGAAGATGCATGAACGCTTGTCCAGTTCGCTTGCTTTAAGATTCCGACTCATCCCCGTGCTAATGACACCGCCACTCCTTCGTTTTCAACCCGTCCATGTTATAGAATGGTCTAGAACAGTGAGATGATGCCCAACCAACGATACAATACCAATTCTGTGGGGTTTCTGCCCGTACAAAGTTGACAAGGTCTATCGGCTACGACCTCGCCTATGTCGCACCCTTGTTTCTCGGTCATCTTACCGATGCCGGAACCTTCAGACCGATCGGTGAGGAACAGAACCCCTGCTACTCATGTGCCCTATGCAGCTCGTTGGTTTCCAAGAATGTCGTTACAATAGAACCTATGGGTGAGTTGGACATCTCGTCTTCATGTCAACATGGTCAGGCATCATTCACCATTCGCAACTCGGCCGTGGACAACCAAAGCAAACTCACACATCACAAGCACTCATCAAGAAACATTGGTTGAGATAACAAGAAGTCTCCGGACCCACGTAATCTCGTTCAGACATCAAACATGGAGCCGGCCAATAAATTTACTATACACAAGAAGTTATATAATCCAAGAAAGTTGAAAACCTCAAGCCTCTTCGTCTCCTTATTTTGTACTGTCCAGCTGCCTTCTCAGCAGCTCAACTCTTTGTTGCTCATATTTACAGGGAGGGAGCAGCGGTGGCAGTCACGTAGACGGTATGGGTGACAGTCTTGGTGCTGCACTGGCCCTGGCTCTTGACCTGGTTGCCAGACCAGTTGCCCCAGGGGTAGCCGGAAGGACTGGGGCGACGGGTAGGGCGGGTCTTGCGGGTGCCAGTGGGGGCCTGGGTGGCAGAGGGAGCTTGGGCAACCTCGGTGGTAGCTCCGACAGGCTCAGAGACAGCAGGCTGCTCAACGGGCTCCTCGTCGCAGTCCTCATCATCGCCAGTCTTAGGGGCAGCAGATGGGGCAGCAGACTCAGTAGCAACGGGGGCCTCGGCGACAGGGGCGGTAGTGGCAGCAGGCTGAGAGGGAGTGATCACCACAGAGGAGGGCTCCTCAACAGCAATGTCAGAGGGCTTGATCACGACGGAAGAAGGCTCCTCGACGGCGACCGAGGTGGGCTCCTCAGCAGCGGCAGAGGAGGCAGCACCGTTAGTGGGCGCAGGCAGGACGTTGGTGACATCCTCGGAGACAGAGGCGAAAGAAGGGCGAGGAGCACCCTCGGGGACGGTGGCAGACTCCTGGGCGGACTCCTCAACGGCCTGGACAGAGGTGGGCTCTACAGCAGCAGGGGTAGACTGAACAGCGCTGGGCTTGGCGGCAGCGGCAGAGCTGGCAACGGCAGACTTGGTCGCAGCGGGCTGAGAGGCAGCAGCGCTGGAAGCAGGAGTAGAGCCAGAGCCAGAGCCAGAGCCGGCACCGTTGGACATGCAAGCGAAAGAGATCTTGGTGACGTCGGAGCCCTGGGTAGGACCATCGAGAGACCAGGCCATGTTGACGTAGGGCCAGCAGATGCGGCCGTCAGCCATGGTGACCATATCACCAGCAACGTAAGTGTCGTCAGAAGAGATGGGCTCGCCAACCTTCTTGCCCTTGGAGTCGACAAGCTGGAACTTGGTACCGGCGAACTTGCCCTTGCAGCCCATAGCCTCGAAGGGGCAGACGGGATTGGAGATCTCCTCCCAGGTGACGAGGGCGTTGGAAGCATCGAAAGCAGCGGCGTGAGCGTTGGAGCAGTCGTTGGCACCCTCGGTAACCCAGTTGATCTGGCTGTCACCGTCGGCGGCACCGACCTCGGAAGTAGCCTGCTCACCAACGATGGTCTTCTTGTCCGAGAAGAGAGCGATAGCGACGTTGCGGTTGTTGGTGCGGTTCTGAGCCTTGGTGTAGCCCTGGCCCATCCAGTCGTTGAGGGTCAGGTCAATAGCACCACGGGAAACCCAGGAGAAGATGTAAGAGTCGGAGCCAATGAAGCGGGCGAGGGAGCTGTAGGAGCCACCCATTCCACCCATGGGCTCGTTGCTGCCACCGTTGATGGTCATCTCGTTGGAGACCTTGACACCGTTGTTGCCCATGCCCTGGGTCTCGGTGTTGAGCCAGATGGCACCCTGATCCTCAGCGCAGAGGGAGGCGAAGGGAGGCTCGTCGGCCTCCTCAAAGGCAATACCGGTGTTGTGGGAGCAGCCCCAAGAGGAGGAGGCACCGGCAATCTCCTCGATCTTACCGTCGGTGGTGATGTATCGGATGGCATCACCAAAGTGGCCCGAGGCGGAGCCAGAGTAGGAGGTGACGACGATGTAAGCAGCATAGTAGCCAGCCTTCTCGGAGAAGACGAGGTCACCGTTGATATCGGGAGAGGCAAGAGAGTCTCCGCCAAGACCAGAACCACCGAGGAGGGTGCGGAAGGTCTGCTTGCCGTTGGTGTACTTGTAAAGCACGGGGAGGGGGTCCTTGGACTCTCCAGACACAACCTCGTTGGTCAGGATGGCGAAGCCGTCATTGTGGGCAACAAGACCACCGGCCTCCTCACCAGCCTTGATGGTGACGGGAGTGCCAACAGCGGCAAAGGTCTTGGGGTCAACACCCTGAACGTGAACACCGGTACCGCTTCCATCGAGGTAAGCCAGGTAAGCGGTCTTGCCATCAGGAGAGACGGCGAAGGGAGTTCGGCGATGGTGAGGGAAGCCGGTCCAGTAAGCTTCCTGGACGGGGTTGAAAGAGCTGCCCAGAGTGAGGGCATCGACGTGGTTCTCGAGCGAGGTGGAGGAGAGCTGAGCAGCCGCCAGCGCCAGGCCGGCAGCGAGGGTGAGAAGACGAGACATGGTTGATGAACGACTTGTAGTATAAGTAAACGACAGGAGTGAGTTAAGACGAATAAGGGAGTGTATGTAGTCGAGTTGGACTAGTAAAGATCGTCGAAAAGAAACAAAAGAAGGTAATCGGGACAAGGCCCCAGGTCAATCATCCAAAGCCAGCACTGGTTGAAGCTATTCTCTTCTCTTTCTTCCTCGACCCGGGCGATATCAACTCTTTTAAAGAGCTTGAAGGCGGAGAGGACCCCGGCAGTTTCGGCCTCCGCCAAGCATCTCCAGACCGGCCGGCGAGCGGTGGAAAAATTCACGGCGTCCCGTATCCGCGGAGATTTGGGACCTCGAGGCCGGTCTAGCAGCCATTCATTTTACATCAGACAGTTAACGGGTGAGGGGTCACGATCCAGCATGGTTGTGGTGTTTCAAGCCCCTGTCATTGCTTGTGTCAGCAAATTCTTGGGTCCTCAGCTCACTCACCCAACCGCCCCGGCAGATACACTCGTCTTGACTCTGAGCCTGGTAAATCAAGGCTGGTGGGCTCACTGTGAGTGGATCGTCAGCGGTGGTCTGTCCCAACTAGGTCTAACGTGAGGCCTGAGTTTGTCTTTTGGGGACAGACTCAAGAGGGGCGGTTTCGAATGGCGCTCTTTCTTGGTAAACGAGATGGAAGCAGGAGCATTGGTTCAGTGGATGATGGCCACATCAAAGAGAGTTTCCTAGGATGTGCTGGTCTGTTGTTGGTTGTCAGCAAGGTGGTGTTGGTATTAGTGGCACTAGATGTAATGGTAAGTTGAATCTATATACACTCTGCATTATAGCCCTCTCGACTTTTGCAGATCAGAACTAAACATTGATTCACAATAGCCTCGCTTCATCTGTTTCTGCTCAGCTGTTTTGCGGATAGAAACCGATACCGATGGGGCGTTTTACCCCTTTCTCGGGAAGCCTTAAGGGGGGCCGCAGCAGGGGTTTCAAGGCCCCTTGTTTCGAGAGGTTTCGCCTCGATCCTGCATCAATATGGGAAGATTCTCGAACGGCTCAAGGTGGGCCAATTATGTAGTTTTCCGACTCTGGAGCGAGTATTCGGGAGCGGGTATAAAGATGAAAGGGTCCTTGAAAGGGAGAGTGAAAGCCTGGAGGAGTTTGCCAAGGTTCTCAACCCTCTTGCGGACTCCGCAAACGTCCCGTTGGGCTAGCGCTTGTTCATCTGCCGAGTCGCAAACGAGAGTAGCAGATCATTTAGATGTAACCTGCCCAGAAGCCGGTAAGTCCGGGAGAAGGGGAATGGTGCTGTCGTATTCAAGATGGGTATTGAAGAGAAATGGAATGTGTTGAGGGTGAGTGTGATCCCGTGACAGCCCAGCTTCTCGTATGGACAGCCTGCGGGGGAGGCTACAGGCGGCCGACCGCTGAAATTGCAAGCGGCTGCGCCTGCTCACGTGCTGTAAATAGTCCCCTAATAGCCCGGCGGCTGCCGCCTTCAGACAGCCAGCGATCCCTGACTAGACCGGATTGGGGTCGCCGCCTCAGTCATGGCTCAGTCATGAAGTGGCACCCGCGTCCATTGTTGTCAACTCGTATCGAGTCGCCGCCATCAGCCACAACAAAAACGCGCGCGACGTACGTTCATCCATCGTTGAATAGGAGGCAAAGCCTGATTGTTTCTTTGTCCCATTTGATTTCTATCCCTTTCATTCTCGTACATACATGAATCTCTAAAGCATTCATCTCGGAGACAATCTCGTCTCCTTGTCCAGGATCCTTCATCTCCATCATCGGCTTCGGTGTCAACATTCATCGGACATCGGCTCATATGTCGCTCCCGATGATGCTCAGCTCTCTTGTTAGGCCCACGAGGAAGGGCATCAGTGATGGCCTCCTCATTTTGGCCATGATTGGCGGTGTCATCTCTCTCATCTTGGCATTTATCGTCTTTATCGCTGGCACTACCATCATCCCTGGCAGTGGTGATAACCCCGATCATTTGTTCTGGAAGCCGTTGGCTTTGGTGACTGTGCGTGCTGTCTTTCTATTTGTTCGCTCACTCACTCTCTCATTCATTCGTTCACTCACCTCCCACACACTCTCATGCTCACTTCCATGCTCACTCCATATTCATTCCATACTTGCTCTCTCATCCCCATCTCATCCTTGCCGAAACTAACCACCTCTAGTTTGATGGACTCGTTCCCAATAATGACACATCCAAGTTCTTGGTCCAACTAAACTGGTACGCCAGCTCATTCGGCTGGGAGTATCCCAATGCCCCCAAGAACCTCCCCAAGGCGGGCATCACTTCATCAGGTCTACGATGGTCTTCCAACATCGTCAACGACCTCCACCAGATCGCCAGGGACCTCAACCTTCCCCAGGACACATGGGACTGTCCCAAGTTTGGAGCATACGAGGACCCCTGCGGCAACATCTTCTTTGAGGCATGGCGCACCTACATGGTCCACAACGGCTTGCCCATCTCCAGCTGGCTCCTCTGGGTCATGGTGACGTCGGCCCTTGTCCTCGGATCTTGGACTATGGTGCAAGAGTGGATGATTCAGAAGAGGCCGCACTGGATGAGGTGCCGATGCATCATCGGCAAGCGATGGTGTCCCTGCCCCAAAGGCACCAAGGAGGAGATTGAGAACCACGACGACTTTGTATGGGACAAGGTGCGGTTGTCTTACTGGACTCTCTCGGCCGCCTACTTTGGCACCGCCGCGACCCACGCCTGCGTCACGTCGGTGTTTTTTGTCAAGTTTCTGGGATTCTTTGAGGAGCGACTGCCCGAGGGCATCAGCATGCGTCCCAGAAGACGTATCGCCTCCGAGGTCCTGTTGTGGGTGGCTTTCGGCATAAGGTGCTTCAGTGCCCTGTGCATGGCCATCAGGTGGAAGCTGAGCCGGAGACCAAAGGGCTGGTTGGACGGACAGAGTGTTGGTCTCGACGGTGACAGTGGAAGACCTGGTGATGCGCGTTATACTGACTAGAACTAAAGAGCGAGGGCATATACCATAATTGATAGAGCGAGCGAATCGTCAACTGTAATTTAAGTTATCTGGACAGGGCATTGGGGATCACAACTTGGGTAGAGATATAGCATGATGGAGATATTCAGCCTCAACTCAAAACCATAACTTTGCTAGAACATGTGTATGTAACAACTTGATGAGGTCAACTCAAGCCAAGTCCACCCCACGTTCCAAGATGCCTATCTATCCGTTTAGTCACAACTCTTTAACCTGACTCGCCAAGTAACCCCCCTCGCTTGGCCAAATGGTCGCGCCCAGATTTGTCATGACTCTGCACCCCGCATTTGAACCCAGATCCACCGACCTTGCCGTAACGCGGTTGGAGGAGTAGTTCGCAGCTAACTAACGGCCAACCCTAACTCTGTCTCTATCTCCAGGAGGGCGTGATCGGCTCGATATCTGACCTCCGGGCCGGCGCGGCCGGTCCGGTCTTGGAGTTGATACAAAGGCTGAGCGAGGTCGCGTTTAAGAGAGATAGATTCCTCTTCTGCTAGTGATTCAGTGACTTGACTTAATATTGCTGCTCTGCACTTCAGTCCAAGGCTCAACTCGTAACCCCCAGTCGACAGTCGCACACTCAAAATGCTCTCCTCGGCAACTCTCCGAACTGCGCCCTTGCGGCGGCTCATCACCAAGCATGCCACACGCTCTCTCACCACCACACCCAAACCACGCCTCATCACCGCCCCTCAAAAGGTCTCCTCCAAGCTCACCATCCCACGTTCGGCGTCTTTCGCCACCAGCGCCGAGGCCACGGCTCCCGCCCCCGAAGCTGAGGTGAACACGAACTTTGCCGCCGTCGCCACGGGTGGCATTCCCTACCCCGGCATCCCCAAGATCGAAGATCCGTATCAGAAGCGACAATGGCAGCTGGAGCACATGGCTGGTGCGTTCCGTGTGTTTTCTCGTATGGGCTTCACTGAGGGAGCTGCGGGACACATCAGTGTTCGCGACCCTGTTGATCCTACTACTTTCTGGATCAACCCGTAAGTAGACAAACTCTGGCTCATCGCATGCCCCTGAGAACTCCATGATACTAACGCGAATCAGCATGGGCGTTCACTTCGGCATGCTCAAGGCCAGCGACATGGTTCACATCAACGAAGACGGCCAAGTCATCGGCGGCAACAGAGTCGCCGTCAACGCCGCGGGCTTCATGATCCACTCAGCCATCCACAAAGCACGCCCTGATGTCGACGCTGCCTGCCACGCGCACTCCAAGTTCGGCAAGGCGTGGTCGACGTTTGGCAAGCCCCTCGACATCATCAACCAGGACGCCTGCATCTTCTGGAACAACCAGAGCATCTACTCCAACTTTGGTGGCGTCGTTTTTGAGGACCAGGAGGGTGCTCGTATCGCTGAGGCGCTGGGACCCAAGAACCGTGCTGTTATCTTGCAGAACCATGGGCTTCTCACAGCTGGTGGCACTGTTGATGAGGCGGCGTATCTCTTTTCGCTCATGGAGAGGACGTGTGAGGTGCAGCTGCTTGTTGAAAGCAGCGGACTTCCCAAGCAGATCATCGGCGACGAGGAGGCGCAATACACATACAAGTATAACGCCGATCCAGTAAGTTTCTCCTACCATGATTCCCTACAGAATTATATGTTAACCTTGTTTTTTAGGAATCTCTCTACACCGAGTTCCAGCCTGATTTTGAGTACGAGGTTTGGCAGTCCAAGGGAGAGCTCAACTCGGGGTTCTAGAGGTTGACGAATGGTCTTTAATGTTATGACGAAACTCTAGCATGTATCTTGCTTCTAGAATAGGTTTTCTACGTAATTTTCCCTTTACTAAGGAATCGAAGCCCTTGAATTTCCGCAACTCTGATCCCATAGCAGTTGCCCCAATCGGCCTTGTTCGTGATGACTATTCCAATGAACTTCGGTGTCCGATGATTACCGGCTCTAAACCAGAACCAGGCATTTCGGCTTTCCACGCCCCCTTGATATAGGTTGGCAGGCCATCGGGCATCCCCTTCCTTTTGCCCCTTGACAGTTTCATCATCACATGAGCTCTGTTGGTCAAATTTGCTCCATATCCAGCAGCACCGATTCAATGACCATGGGCTCATTCTATACCATTATCGCTGGAGCCGGCCCGGGCACAGGTACGAGTGCTCCAGAAAATACGTCCTCACACTGACTTCTCAAGGTCGAGCCGCTGCCCTCCGCTTCTCAAAGACATATCCCGTAGTCATGTTGGCTCGTCGACCAGAGAGCTACGAGGATATCGTGCGGGACATTCGGCAGGCTGGCGGCCAGGCGCTTGGCATAGTGGCCGACGTGGCAGATTCCGCGTCACTGAGCCGGGCCTTTGACATCGTAGGGGAAGCCTTGCCGAACTTGAAGCTCGCGGCGGCCGTCTACAACGTCAATAGCGGCTTCATGATGAAGCCTTTCCTGGAACTACAACTGGACGAGTTCCAAAACAGTTTTGGCAAGACAGGGTAAGCGGTCACTTTTCCTTTGGCTAGCGTAAACTGATTCTCATCTTCCAAAGGGACGCATTCTTTAACTTTACACAAAAGACACTGCCTCTACTGCGTGAGGCTGTCAAGGATTCACCACACCCGCCTACATTAATCACCACAGGCGCCACGGCATCTATCAAAGCCTCGGCTGGTTTTGCCGCCTTTTCCGCCGGTAGGTTTGCCATGCGTGCGCTGAATCAATCTCTAGCCCGTGAATTTGGTCCTCAGGGAGTTCATATTGCACACGTTGTCATCGATGGACTCATCGACACCCCAGCCTCCAAGGCCTGGAGCAAGACTGATGTACCGGACAGTAAGATACAACCAGATGCGGTGAGTCACCTTGTTCTTGAGATTTGAGTAGTATGAAACTGAAACCGTAAGATTGCCGAGACGTATTGGCACCTTCACATACAACCGCGATCTGCATTCACGCAGGAGATGGATATTAGGCCATTCTCTGAGAGATTTTGAACCAAGACCGGGGAGTCGATATATTAGCCGTGTTTCTTAAAAAATTACTTTTGTATATCGAATCGAAGAGGTGTCCAAGGAGCTGATATGTTGAATGTTGAAATTGACCTCCATGCCCCAAGGCCGACACTTAACCTAGACTTAAATGGCATCGTCGGGAAACAACATGAAGAAACGTTTTTCAAGATTGGCGATTTTACATACGCAAGGATAGCTAGTAGCTACTGTAAATATTTGAATTTCTCTATTTAGAGGCTTAGTAGTCGAGTAGAAGTCATGGCATTAAGGCGAACAGACCCGAGTTGCACGCAACACTTGGACATCCAAGCTCAGTATGTAAACTATACAGCAACTTCTATTGAGTCCACAGAACGTTATATCTAGCTAAAAACAGAGTATAAAGGCATGAAAATGCCAAGGCCTTTAAAACTCTGCCTTGTGGGCTTCAAGAAACTCCTTCCAAGTCGTGGGCTGAAGTCCAACACTAGCCAACAGGTCCAGGCTTTCCTTGAGATCCTGCCCATTGTAGTAGCCCGGCTCTTCAATGAAAAGATGGTTCTCAAGCATCTCTTCAGCCAGCGGCTCGGGAAGAAAACTCTTGTATGTCGCGGCATCAATGGCCACGAAGCGGGCCGGCTTCCCAACCACTTCCTCAAACTCGGAGACGATCTGCGTGGGCGTGTAGTAGCCGGCAGCAGCGAGGATCTGCTTACCAAGAACCTCGGGTTCCTTGCGGATCGCAGCAACAACGTATTTACCTAGAGAGTACCAGGAATTAGGGCTCTTGTCGGGGGGGCCGTAGAGGATTGGAAGCTGTGACTTACCGAGGTCTGATGGAGTGTCGATGAGTGGGAACTTGGCCTTGTCTCCAACTGGATACGCGAGAGAGTAAACACCATCATCACCCTTCTTGATCATCTGCAACGTGGTAAAGTTGCTCATGAAATAGCCCGGGAGAACAAAGGTGCTTGGAATGTCCTTGGAGCGGATGTACCGTTCCACCTCGGCCTTGTCGTCAAAGTGAACGACGTGCTTGAGGCGCCCTCCAGTGGTCTCGGTGACATGAAGAAGAGATGAGTAGATCAGGTGCTTGACACCAAGGTCGGAAGCAACGTCGGCAACGTTTTTGCCGTGGGGCAGTTCCTGGCTTCCGCCGCCGGACATGAAGTCGGGGGTAGTAACGAGGAAAACAGTGTGGGAGTCCTTCAGAGCAGCGGTAAGCGTTTCCTTGGAGCTCATGTCGGCCTGTAACATGTGAGTTTCGATCCATGCCACGAGTCGAGGTTGTATGGGTCGGACGGGCTTACCGCAACGACTTCGACACCCTTTTCGGCCAAGGCTTGTGATGCAGGCTTGGAGACATCGCGGGTGATGCCTCGAATCTTGTACTCCTTGGAAAGGACGTCGTCGGCCAGAACAGCCCGGATGACAGAGCCACCCTGAGCGCCAGTGGCACCAAATACGGTCAAGAGCTTGGACATTGCGATGAAGGGATGGTTTATCCAAAATACAAACAAGGAAGGAATTTGTCGTGGGCGTGCAACGGTGTGTGGTCGGGATGATAGAAGACAGATGGATGAGCCAAGACACTTGGAAATGTTCCAAGACGGATGGCTTTATACCAGCAGCAGTCCATCTTAGAAACTCGCCATGACACTTACATTCGAGACCTATACACCGCCAAGTATACGCGTAGGTCAAGATGAGTGCGAAATGCTTCCGTAATCCTCACGAGTCAGACCAGCTCGGGACATCGTGAAACACCGAAAATGTCCACTAGATAGACTTTACTTGTAAAGTTTGCCCGAAATTTTGTAAACCGTACAGCTGGAATTAATGTCCAGCTTACAGGGTACTTTGCCAGTTTTATCATAGAACTGAGGGCCAGAATGGTTTCGGGTTTCCGAAAATCCTCTGCAATTAGTGATGTAGAGGGCGGCTTCAGGAGCCAGGGGTTCATTATCGTCAATGGGACTTTTCCTTTTTGCATCCTCCAACATGAATTCACGTCCTCATGTGTTGAAAAAGACAGTAAATCAAGTTTATCCATGTAGTAACTCTCCGTGCTTGGACCGGACAGACTCTCGCACTATATCGGACACCGAAGACAAGTCATCACGCGGCTTATTTGTCAGCCCCAGCCAATCGGAACTTTAGAAGGCCGAGTTTGTCATCCGACCTCCAACACTGATTGGAATGTCGTTCTCGAGTTGTAGGCGCTTCAGTAAATGCCGATGAGTCTGGGGTGGTGGGACGAGAAGGGGCATGGAGGGTCGGGGGTTGTTGATGGCATGAGGTGGCCTTGCCTGTTTCCCCCAGCTCCATATAAACCTCACAGGTACATGCTACAGTTTCCTATCCAACAGTATTAACTCAGGAGACCAAAAGAGCTGTGTTTCTTTCATAATCTCTAAAAGCAATATGGCCCAAATCGCGAGAAACGTTGCTCTCCTCGGTGTATGGCACCCTCTGTTGACTATGCCTAGTATGTTCTGACCAACTTGTAGGCTACGGGGACTCTGGGTTCTCACATCCTCACTGCTCTGAAAGGAGCTGGATTCTCCGTCACTGCTGTCCAACGCAAGGATTCCACAAAGGCTGTTCCTGAGGGCATCAAGTCAGTCAAGGTGGACCTAACCAACAAGGACGACCTTGCATCGGCTTTCAAGGGGCAAGATGCAGTCGTAAGGTATGGAGACAGATACTCCAGCCAGTACTGAGCTGACGCCTTGTAGCGCTGTGCCGAACCCTGCTCTCTTGACAGAAAAGATCATGATCGACGCAGCCATTGAGGCCTCGGTGAAGCGCATTATTCCATCTGAATACAGCACCAATCTTGAATCACCTTTGTCGCGCAAGTTGCCCATTGTCACGGAAAAGGCAAAGATCCGCGAGTACTTGACCAGCGTTATTTCATCTACCGACTCACCCACGACATGGACTTCGATCAACAACGGTCCCTTTTTCGAGATGTGCCTCAGATTCGGGGTCTTGGGCCCAAACCTCCGGGAGAAGAAGGCCACCTTTCATAACGGAGGCAACAACGTGATTGGCACAACAACTCTGCCAGACATCGCTACCGCCGTAGCCAAGGTCCTCGACTCTGCTCACTTTGCCGAAACTGCAAACCAGCCCGTGTACATTTACTCGGCTGCCATCAGCGAACGTCTCCTCACCAAGTTGGCATCCAAGGTCACGGGCATTGACTTTGGCACTGTGGAAGATGGAAGGATCGCTGACCTCGACGTCGACGAGCTCGTCCGAGACTCTGATGAGAAGAGAAGCAAGGGAGACATGTCTGGAATGTTTAACTATTATTACCAGATGATGTATGGAAAAGGCTATGGTGGTACTGATTTCAAGGAACTATCGTGGAATGATCGGTTGGGACTAAAGTCGATGACGGAAGAGGATGTTGAGCGGGAACTCAGGGCCGCCGCAGTCGAGTTTGGCATTCTTTGAGTTTCGAAAGTCAAGGTCAAGATGAACTGCTCAAACGGCATGCTGTACACTCCAAGTATAATGCCCTAACCTTTGGGACTCTATGTAGCAAGAATATTCATGCGAGAAACATAAGGGCCTGATTCGTGTCGGAGTTGCCTGGCGGCACTGTATCTCGGTAATCTTGGCATTATCCGATAAAGTGGCGCCGCCTAGGAGCTTACAGTGGTACAGCACTATAAATAAAATCCCCGAATGTGCTTATGATGCATCATCAACCGCTCTTTATCGGACACCGAAGCATACAATGAGTGCAGC